ATGAAGGCTTTGGGAATTCAGAACGGAGCAAGGACAAGCACGAGGACATCTTTCACAACCAACGAGAATGCCCCGGCTGCGAATTCTCCTCAAATTCCCTCTCGGATCTCGCCAGGCATCGAACCAGCGTGTGTCCCGGAAAGATCATCCTCTGCCGATTTTGCCATCTCGAGGTTCCGCAGGAAGGTGATCCGTTCAATCCCGCTCCTGAGGTTGTCCTCTCTGGCATGACGGCCCACGAACTGGCGGATGGGGCACGAACGACGGAATGTCACCTCTGTGACAAGATCGTGCGACTCCGAGATATGGAGACTCACCTGAAGCACCACGAGCTTGACAAGGTCAGCCGGCCAAAGCCTCTCATCTGCCGCAACGCCAACTGCGGAAGAACGCAACATGGTGTTGGACCCAAGGGTCAGATTGGCAGCGGGAATGGGCAGAAGTCCGGCCCGAGCAACGACCTCGGGCTCTGCTCTCTGTGCTTTGGGCCTCTGTATGTGAGCATGCATGATCCAGAAGGAAAGGCCCTCCGACGGCGAATCGAAAGACGCTACCTGGGTCAGCTCATGACGGGATGCGGGAAGCCGCACTGCCGGAACGAGTGGTGCAAGACTGGCAGGGCAAACCAGGAGCTCGAGCCCAAGGGGTCCAACGCCTCTGCAGCCCTTCCCCTAGTCAAGCCCCTGCTGGAAATGGCCAAGGGCCCGTCCGAGCCAATGTTCTTCTGCGTGGATGAAGCGAGCCAGTTGCGCCGGAAGATGGCTGAGATGGTGGCAGCTGAGAAGGCTTGGGATCTGGAATGGTGCATCGCAGCGGCAGAGGCGGGCAAGGGCGATGCTACGCAAATACGAGAGTGGCTCCAGGCATGGGCGCCAAGAAGATGAAGTGAGTAAACGTTTGCTACGGTGAGGGGCAATGTAATGAGGGATGTGATTCAAGGGATTGATACCCAGGAGTATGCATAAAGGCGGTGTTGAGCAGCATTGACTTCCACGACAACTTAGAGATTCGGCATTTGGATTGAGATAAACAGTATATAACATAGCTATTATTGATCATTAAATCGCGTCTGTGAGAGCTGCCCCCTCCTAGCCTTTGTGAAGAAGGCATCCGTGCCGTCGAAGTCTGGAATTTCCCCAACTACTCAGTGTCATGGGACCCCACGTGAATCCTCCAAGCAACAGTTCCAGCTACTGTATAGGCGCGTCTAGATCAGACCTGGGGCAAAAAATCACGGAGGTTGAGGCTCCGGGTTGCAACCCCAGGTCAGATGCGGGGATAAGGTGTAAACAGAGGCGAAGACCGCTATTTACCGAGCTCGTCTCCGCGGAAAATTTACCCATATGCATATGTAGTCAGGAGAAATATTCATAGAGACTATCAAAATCAGAAGCCTAGAAATAGAAGTCAGGACTCGAAGTCTTGAAGATGTCGTGGGAGATTCTCGGCTTAACACCTTGATGTATGGCGGAGTGTAAGTCAAGTGTATCTACCCCAAGAATACGACATGGCCATGACGCCCAGAATGTCACAAAGAGAATCGCCTGATTCAGAGTGACACCAATCACAGGGAAACCATGTCATGGGATACGGTTCGTAACGAGAAGTGCTGTAGACATGGAGGTTCGGCAGGACGCCAAGCTCGCATCGCATACCCTTGGCCAGTCTTCCCCAGCAAACACATGCACCCACACGCGTAAAGAAGAGTCTAGCCCTGTGCCAGTCGGTCCTGATCCGGATCATCCAGATCCTTTCCCGGACTAGCGTTTGTCCCAACTTTGTCTAGACTCCTTACATGTCGAGCTCTCTGTGGACGGGAAGTGGGAGAGCCGACCTACCTCCTTTATTCGTGACCATGCATGGCCAAGAAGGTCTTATTTTCTGACTTCTATTTGTGAATTTCAAATGGGAGACCTAAAATAGGCACTGCCTTTGAATTTCTGGTTTGAATCTGGGGGATTCTGCTCCCCGTATTGCCGAATCCGTTGAAACGGTGCTGTTGCATCTCGTGAGAGGGGCCACACCCATCTACAGACTAAGACCTCGCAGATATATCAAAATCCACCATAGAGAATATCCCAAAGGAAGCCAGAGTACCATCGTTGGGTACCAGCCGCTTAAGAATCCCTGATCCCGCGTGGAGCCGCCAGTGGCGCTCCCTCGACAGCTCCTCCTTTGGGCAAGGCGTCCAACATCTCGACCTCTCTCCTTTGAGGCACACTGACCATTTTGCCGCTCCCGTATGTTCCTGGGAATACAACATGAAAGCTAAATGAGCTCCGGAGTGTGCGCGGAATGGAAAAGGAGCTGATGGAGGGCTCCATCCGGGCCGTCAAGGCGGCTTGCCACAGTTTCCTCTCAACCGGTTGGCTCGAACGGACGTTCAGACTCCGACTGAGAAACAGATCTGAGTCTTGTGTAGCGGAACTCTGAACCGACTAATTCAGAAAGCCCTGAGGTGGGTTTGGGCGATAACTATTCTGTGAGACGCCAAGCGATGAGAGCAGTATATAAATGTCTGTCTTCGCCCAGGGCGTCAGTTGGATAGACTTCTTCAAAACAAGCAGTCCCCCGAAACCAATTGTCTTATAGCAGATACTTCAACATCATAAGTGTTGGCAACATGTTGTCTCTCGCCGTTCTGTCTTTGATCTCCGCGGTCGCCGCCCAGCAGGTCGGCACTGATACCGCTGAGACCCATCCCACCATGTCTTGGAAGAAGTGTACCAGTGCCAACAACTGCCAAACAGTCAATGGAGAGGTTACCATTGACTCCAACTGGCGATGGGTCCATAAAGGTAAGTGAACCGAGCTGAATTGTTTCATCCGTAATATGAGCATATGCTAATCCGTCTCTTCTTTGTGGCTGAGTAGTCGGTTCTACAACCAACTGTTATGACGGAAACAAATGGACGTCTGCTTGCAGCAGCAACTCTGACTGTGCTACCAACTGTGCTCTTGAGGGAAGCAAGTATCAAGAGACCTATGGTGTGACCACCAGCGGTGATGCTCTGACCCTCAAGTTCGTCACCAAGCATCAATACGGTACCAATGTTGGTTCTCGGCTGTATCTGCTCAACTCGCCCACCAAGTATGAGATGTTCAACCTGGTCAACAACGAGTTCGCCTTTGACGTCGACCTGTCTTCGGTCGAGTGCGGCCTCAACAGTGCTTTGTACTTTGTGGCTATGGACTCTGATGGTGGTATGGCCGCTTACCCTACTAACAAGGCTGGTGCCAAGTATGGAACTGGTTATTGCGACTCCCAGTGTGCTCGTGATCTCAAGTTCATTGGAGGCCAGGTACGCGAAGCCATTGAGACATATGACCCTGTCTTACCCTTCTCCTACACAGTAGTTACAGAAGCAGAGACTGACATTGTTCATGATGACAGGGCAACTACGAGGGATGGGTTCCCTCCACCTCCGACCAAAACGCTGGTGTTGGCAACAGGGGCGCTTGCTGCGCTGAGATCGATGTCTGGGAGTCCAACTCCCATTCCTTCGCTCTCACACCACACGCGTGCCAGAACAACGCCTACCACATCTGCACAGCCCCCAACTGTGGTGGTACCTACTCCGAGAATCGCTTTGCTGGCGATTGCGATGCCAATGGCTGCGACTACAACCCCTACCGCTTGGGTAAGACCGACTTCTACGGTAAGGGCAAGCAGGTCGATACCTCCAAGAAGTTCACGTAAGAGAGACACCTCCAGCATGAACCCCTCAAGACTCGTCGACTGACCAATCCTTGCCCCTGATCTAGTGTTGTCACCCAGTTCAAGACCACCGGCATGAAGCAGTTCTTCGTCCAGAACGGAAAGCGTATCGACGTCCCTGCTCCCTCCTACAGCGGTGTCCCCGCCAGCTCCGAGATCACAAAGGACTTCTGCGACAACGTCTTCAAGGTCTTCAGCGACTACGACCGATACTCCGAGGTCGGCGGCTGGTCTGCCATCCAGAGCGCCCTGGCCAAGCCACACGTCCTCGTCATGTCCATCTGGGCCGATGTGAGTCTTCAAAAGACAGCCTCGATTATATCCATTTGCTAACGTACTTTGCGAACAGCACTACGCCCACATGCTCTGGCTCGACGGCGTCTGGCCCAGGGATGCCAACGCCAGCGACCCCGGCAAGAAGCGAGGCGACTGCCCTGCCAGCTCTGGCGTGCCGGACGAGGTCATCGCCAACTACCCCAACGCGTAAGATAAAACCCTGACACTATAGATCCCTCCGAAGTGGATTGTTGCTGACTAGATATACCCATCAGGTTCGTTACCTGGTCGAACGTGCGCTTCGGCCCCATTGGAGCCACCACTGGCCTGTAAACGCCGACGTTAGTGTCCGATTGCGAAAACGAGTTTGGGATATGGAGATGGACTTTCTAGGTTTATGAGTTTGGAAGGATATAGTACTACTCTGCCTTTTATGCTCTGGTGCATCTGCTGGAGCCATGTTCGGCAACGGGGATGTCAGATGAAGCTTCCGTAGATCCATCTGCATAGGAGACTAGATCCTGAATATTAAAGCCGCCGTTTATCTATGCCAGGGGTGCCAGACATCTGTGATCAGGGTTCGCGGGATTTTATTTGATATGATTGGACTTTGTCTAGCCCGTTTGTGCATGATGTTTTCTTGTTCGCATTCTGGCTTCTTCCGATGGGCCAATACGAAAGCGAGATGCTCGCTCGCATCGCCAACAGCCGAACTCGACTACTATCGCACTCGGAAAATTTAGTGCTTCTTCGCGCGCGGGGGAAGGCGGGTCGAAGATTCATGGCTGGACATTTTCCCCATGTTGAATAATCGCCGGGGTGAGGCGGTGTCTGGCCCCTCTTCATGATGCGAAGGCGTATAAGTATGGTGCTTGTCCTCGTTGCTCTCTGCCGCTCTGTAGACAGGACCTCGCATTCTCTTCTTCTTCTTCTTCGTACTTTCACCTGGCACTGACCCTTGATCGTCGCTTGTCAACCTCTAATTCCCCTTAAGCCCATCTCCATCATGGCGAGTAGCAAGCCACTCTCGGAGCTCACGGTTGCCATCACCGGCGCAGCAGGAGGACTCGGCAAGGCGATCGCCCAGACGTTCCTCGATGCCGGCAGCAAGGTCGCCATCTGCGATGTGAACCAGGAGCGGCTCGACCAGGTCAAGGAGGAGTGGAAGGCGCACGAGGGCAGGGTACTCGTCTCCAAGACGGACATTACCGACGAGGCTGAAGTCGAGGCCTTTGTCCAGGGCGTGACTGAGAAGCTCGGGGGCCTCGACATCTTCATCAACAACGCGGGCATCATGGACAAGTTCGACGCCGTGGCCACGACGCCCAAGGCGGTATGGGACCGTGTTATAGGTGTCAACGCCACCGGTGCGGTGAGTAGCTTAACACCATGATCTCGAAAGTAACTTATCCTCCATCATATGCTAATCGTCTTGGAAAGTTCTTGTGCACCAAATCCGCCGTGAACGTCATGCTGGCCTCCGGCACGGGTGGCACCATCATCAGCATCGCCTCCAACGCCAGCATATACGGCGTCGCAAGCGGGGTGGCCTACACGGCGAGCAAGCACGCGCTGCTCGGCCTGGTCCGCAACACGGCCGGCTTCTACGGGGACAAGGGGGTGTACAGCGTCGCGCTGGTGCTGGGGGGCATGGACACGACCAACCTGGTGGACGCGTTCCGGGAGGGCGTCAACATGGAGGTCCTGGGCAAGATGAAGGGGTTCCTCCCGGGCTATGTGCCCGGCGAGACGGGCGTCGAGCCGGCGGATGTGGCCAAGTACTGCGTCTTCCTAGCGGATCGGGCGGTTGCGCGGGCGAGCAATGGGGGGACGATTAATGTGAACAACAACTGGCCTACGATATGATTTTCCGGATTGCAAAAGGTCCGGCTACTTCATGTTGTTTCAGTGGATGGGCGGAGGTGATGGAGCAGGCTTGCAGGAAATGTTGAGCCAGCACCACTCACTGCATATAGCTGCATGTACATATGAGATATTGATGCTTTCACAGCCTTGCATACGCGGCAGCTCTCCACCAGAGCGGACCACTCGCATTGACGTCCGGCAAACATTGAGAGACAGCTAAGAAGGCACAATGGCTTCGACTACGCACGCAGTATTCTGGGCTGGGAGTTCTCGTCTAATCGGAGCTTTGGCCGACCTACGCAAGCCCGCGCGTTAAACCCCCACCATAATCCTGTTCCTGATTCGGGAGGAGAGCCTCGGCACGGTGGATTGAGTTGTGGATGTCGTATTCGTGATATAGGTGCTGCCAGGATGCTTATTTTATTTTATTTCAGTGGGGAGGAGGGCCGTGAGTGAAACACGCCTGGAATCCACGTGTCCGAGTGTGTGCCGACGGACTGAGGATGGATGACGGAGGCCGTCCATGCGAGCAGCGAACTGGGCTGGTCGGAGCTTCGTATCTGGATCTCGGCTTGCTTGGCTCGGATGGCTTGTCGTCATTGATTGACTTTCACGCAGCCGGCAAGGATCACACGAACTGCGTCCTGCGGGAGGCTGGTGATTCATTTCATTTCCTGCAGTAGGTAGCTGCACTTGTATCAAGATGTCTGTTAGCTCCTCCCATCCCAACCCTACTCTATCCTTCCCTCTGTGCGTTGACTTTTGAGCATGGCATGACATGTCATGACAGCACATGGATGATGGTGCTGGGTGATGGATGCTGGACGTAGCATCAGCCCGATCATCGGAGCCGGGCTATCCGATGTTGGCGGGCAGAGGGCGGGGATAACAATGATGGACGGTGATCTCACCTTGAGCGAATCGACAAGGCGACTCAAGGCAGGGCAAGGCAAGGAAGAGAGCCGAGCCGGCAAGGCGGATGTGCCGGTTCGTCTGTCTCGCGGCCCCAGTCAATTGACTCTGGATGAAGCAGGAAAACGCTCAAATCACGCACACATTCAACCGTAACTCGATACCCAGCTTGACATTGCCTCTTGTACTGGTGTTAGAAATTGGGCATCCGGCTCCGGCGATGGAGGGTCACCGATACGAGACGGGCGAGACATGGCGGACACATTGTTGAATCAGATGGGCCCAGCCGGTTCATCGCTATACAGGTGACTGAAGAGCCCGCCCATTTATCGATTTGCCAATCCCTTGGAAAAGAAACCTGTTGAGCATAAGCCATCAAAATCACATCGTACCGGCCGAGTCCTGGGTATCATAGAGCCAGGGGACTGGAGCCTCCACTAATCTCTTTTATTTCCTATAATTGATCTTGGAAGACCTAATTGGCAAAAACAAGTATTCCAGCCTATAATCGCTGCTTTCTGGGTTACACATACCTGCGCCGAACTCTCGGGTGGCGCTTGGGCAGCCAAAGGTACCTCAATTGTTGGGGCTTGACCGTTCCCTGGTCTCGGCCTGAGGAATTCAGATGAAGAGAGGAACAGAGAGTACATCATTCAATCAATCTAGCAAAGAAATAGTCCATGCAGAGGTAGAAATCAAGACCAATTCGAGTCGTTCTTTACAGAGGCATGTTTTTTGTTCCTCGTCTCTAGGTTATGTGGTATGTATGTGGTGCTCACATGCTGAACTGCCGGCGTAGGACTGACCCAGGTACAGCGCCTTTAGTGCACAGCTGGTACCTGGAAGTAGCACCTGAAGAAAGTAGTGATACCTGATAGTGCTCCAATTAGCGGGTAAAATGGTAGATGCCCCACCTATAATTTAGTACAGATACTCGAGTCCTCCTTATCTTGGGCTCTGACCTCCTCCACCCACCCTCAATCCTCCCTCCCGCCCGCTCGCCATTCCCCTCTCTCCATCTTTGCAGCCCAGCCCAGGCCAATTACCCACGCCCGTTTGTTTGTCGTACCAGGCCGCTCTATCTCGTGTCTGGGGCCCCAGCGAGATGCCTCTCCCCCCTGCCTCCTTCATCTGAGGCTCAGCACGCACGACGCAGCTTAATCACCTCCCAAGTCGAGCTCTCCCCAGCCCGCTTGAGAACTTTGGCAGGTAGGTCCAGCATCACCACCACATCACATCACATCACCTTAGTTTCCACACCACACGTGTACACGTAACACGCCCGCCTCCGCTACATTGCTTGCTGGTCTGTCTGCTTGTCTGCCCGAGTGAGCGCTCGACTCATACCTGCTGCAACCCAGTCTTGCCAGTCCAATTGCCTGGCTGCCGGGTAGCGCATCTCCGAGGGCGCCAGAGCAAATGTCCCTGGTCGTCCTCCAGCACATCCATCGGTGAACCCACACCACCTTTGGAGCTGTGACCAGGTTCTTCTCATGTCATCATTTTGCCTGGGCCTAGCCTACTTTACCTTGTTGCCATCAGCCATTCATTATCGCGCATCCACCGACATCTCTCCCCGCCATCTCATCTCTGTACCCATAGCATAGCTGCGAATTATGGCATGACTGTCGGGCTAAACTTGATGCATAGGTCGCATTCCGACTCCAACTTTGTCCCCTTGCTTCCGCCCCATCGTCCAGCCCACTGCAGCACGCATCAGCCACCTTCTGCCCAGTGAAGAGACGAGTGTTGTGTCGGCTTGCGTCGCGTTGCCTCTGCCCTCTTCTCTTCCACCTCCCATCCCTCCCGCCTGCCTTTAATCTCGACCTCACACCATGGGCAACTCGAATGGCAAAGAGTCGGATCCCGAGGGCCCATATGCGACACGTCGCTCCGTCGCTGATGCCTCCGCCCAGACCGCCGCCGACCGAGATAGAGAACGTTCATCACGCAACCACCGTGCGAGCAGAACCGAGCTCAGTTTCCTGGGTATTTCGTCGTCGTCCGGCACCCGTGATCGCAACCGCAACCGCGAAGATGCACCCTTCACCCACCGTGAGACGAGGCAGGAACGAGAGGCCAGGAAGCTTGAGCGGGAGCGGGCCGCTCGTCTCAAGGAACGTGAGAGGAGTATGAAGGAGGAACATGTCGATGGGGGCTTCCTTGTCACGCTCGGCACATACACCGGCACCGAGGACTACAGCAAGACCGTCGTGCGGCAGCTACTGGTACATTGAAATTGCGGCTTCCCCGGGCAATGTGTATCTGCATTGCCATCACATCTTCCGGGCTAACATGTCTCTCTAGATTGAGCGTAAGCTGGCTCCCTTCTGGCGTGGCCTCAACGACTGGTCTGAGAGTTGGACCGAGCATCAACTCATCGCTGCTGCTCGAGGTCTTCCCATCCCCGCCGCTGATGAAGTGCCTGACCCCGAACTCGTCGCTCGCCCCCCACGAACCGACCAGAACATACAGAACTTGACTGTGCCGATGGGACCTCGCACGCTTTCCGCTGCATCTGACCATAGTGCAAATGCCACTGCCGCTACGAGTACGGGAAAGACTTCTGCGTTCAAAGCTCCTCGAGCGAAAGCCCTCGCCGCTGCACTGGGTGTGAGCTCTCGCAATACATCCGCTACAGAGTTGGCACCCCGGGAAATATTCCTACCAAACGACCCATTCGTCAACGGCCAAGCACTTGAAGTGTTCCTCTACAAAGATGCCACAGAGTGTCCCATTTGCTTCCTCACGTATCCACCATATCTCAACCAGACTCGTTGCTGCGATCAACCCATATGTAGCGAGTGCTTTGTTCAAATTAAGCGTGCTGATCCTCACCTTCCCGAGCACCATCCCGACGGCCAGGCACGCGACCCGAACGAGGGACTGAACCCTGAAGATCCTCCCGAAATGCTCATCTCGGAGCCCTCAGCCTGTCCGTACTGCCAGCAACCCGAGTTCGGAGTGACCTACGAGCCCCCACCATTTCGACGTGGCCTTGTCTATTCGACATCGTCGACAAACATTGCTGCTGCTGGAACTCCCATGTCTTCACAGAGCTCCTTCCATTCGACATCTCCCGCCGCTGGACCACCTACAACCCGCCGCCGCGGGCACAGTCTTTCTGTCAATGCACCCAACGTTATCACGACGGACCGCATTCGCCCTGATTGGAAAACAAAGCTTGATTCTGTCCGACAGCATCAAGCACGCCGTGCAGCAGCAGCAACGGCGCTCCACACTGCTGCTTTCCTAGTCAACAGCGAGAATAACGACCAGCGCTCTATTCTCCGACCTGGAATATTCAGCAGTCGGAGGCATCACGGAGCAAGTTCAGCGAACCCTCCCGCCACCGAGCGACCCGCTGAGGCGGCGGCGGTAGATCCTGCCGATGGCTCTGACCGCCAAGGGCCTAGATCGGCAAGACGCACACGAATGGACGAGCTGGAAGACATGATGTTCATGGAGGCTGTTCGCCTGTCCCTGGCTGCTGAGGAGGAACGGAAACGAAAGGATGAGAAGGCATACCGTAAGGAGGCCAAGAAGCGTGAAAAGGAGGAGAAGAAGGCGCAGAAGAGGCAGGCCAGCCATCCGTACAACGGCACAAGCAGTGGTGCCAGCGCAAGTAGTCTCTCTTTGAGTGGCTTCGGCCGAAGGCGCGACAACAGCGGGGCTAGCAACCTGCGTGTCGAAGCTACCATCCAGGGTGCTTCACAGACCTCGAAGACAGGCGAGTCCAGCCCTGGACTGGAGACTAAGAGCACAAGCATTACGAGCTCGACGGACGCTGGGCCCGTGAGCAAGGGAAAGGCAGTCGATAGAGGCTCTTCGTCCCCCGAAACAGCAACGACCCCTGACGAAACCCCAGCTACTGGTTCCCTGCCAGTGCCCGCAGGAGGTCCCCCTCGAGGAATGTCCCACCTCCGCCAGATGAGCAACACGTCATCTCTCGGTTCTTCCGGAGTAGATACGCCCTCTGGGAGTTACACGGGTGGTCATGCTTCGGATTCTAACGAGAACAGCCAAGCAAACCGAAGCGACGACGTTGATCATGAACCAATGTTCAATTACCGTAGCCTGGCAGAAATGGTTGGTGTAAATATTGATGACGGAACCGCTACAGTACCAGAAGACGCCTCTCCTCACGCAAGCGGTGATTTGGTCCGACGGCCACTTTCCCAAGTGAACGAGGACGAGAAGGAGGGGCCGGAGGCTGAACATGTCGAGAAATCGCAGCCTACTATTGCGCTGACCCAGGCAGACCAACCAGGGTCGGGCAAAATAGGGCTCGTCCAGAGCAACTCGACCGTCACAAACAAGTAACATCTTCTCGGGAAATAGGTGTATATCCTACGAACGCAGGGTTTAGATGGCATCTCCGTTCATCAATTGTGGCACTTTGTGTTATCTACAAGCAACATGTAGGACAGGTGAAAACAAGTCGAGGTCGTTACTTCGAGAACGACAATCATTCATTCAGATTTAAGCGAACTTTTCATTTATGACGCGGTCAATGAGTCTGGTTGGGAGGCAAGGTTTGGGGGAACGGTATATAAAGGCGCTTGTATCTTGTATAGCTCTCCAGCGTTGATTATGTATTGAAATTGAAAATCATTTGTTTCCTACAGGATCCCGAGATGGCCCCTTCCACCTCACCTCCACTAGCAACCATTGCTGAATCGCGCCCTCTTCTCTGCAGGGCGTCTCGAAGCTGCTCCACGCGTGCGAGCTGCCGGCCCAGCAGCCCAATTACCTTCCTCTGCATCATCCTCGATCTTGATGCACACGGTAGAGTCATCGGGGCCACTCGCAGGGGCCACCGCTCCGGACCCTTCCTCTGTGCGAGGCCTCTTCCTCGAGTTGGCTGTTTGGGAACTCGGCGGCTGGCGTGTGGCTTCAGCTGTAGGAACTGGTCTGTCCCTTGGGGCTGGTTGCTTGTTTGGATCAGCGGGAGCTCGTGGGGGGGCTCTGACAGGTGCTTGCTTGGTGGCCTTGACGGGCGCTCGCTCAGCGGCTCGTGGACTTGGGGAGTGTCTCGACTCGCTTTTCGACTCCGAGTCCGAGGAGAGGTCGCTGCCGTCCTCGCTGCCGCCACTGCCGCTCAGACTGCAACTCAAACTGCCGCTCAAGCTGCCGGAGTCGTCGCCAGTATCACTACCGCTGTCGCTGTTGCTGTCACTACCGCTGCTGCTACCGCTTTCGTCACCACTGCTGCCGCTGCTCCCATCAATGTCACTGCTGCTGGCATTGTGCGACTGGAGTAGATCTCTCCTCCGAACTGGGGGCTGCTGGGCCGGCCGAGCAAGAGGACGCTTCCTTTGATAGTTGCTTCCGGGCCCATCGGAGTCATACATTGATTCGTCGTCGTCCTCCCCAATCCATTGAGCTTCTCTGGCACATAGGCTTCCATGAGTGCCACGAAGAATACTGGTACACCCATTCGAGCACTCTCCCTCCGCGATTTGGAAGTGAACGTATACCACGACCCGGCCGTCCTTCACCTCAAAGGCGTTGGCGCTATCCGGCCGAAACAGATCATATGCGCTGCGGCTCCTTCCTTGCTTAGGTAGGGCGAGGAGGCCCTCGTGCTGCGACCACTTCTTGCCGAGCTCGAACGCGCAGCCGCTGACGATCTGCACCTCGAAGTTGGGCGTCACATATTTGCGGATCCATCCGCGCTCCGAGAGGCCGTCGCTTGGATGGAGCTCTGTCCAGGGCACGAGCTCGAGGTCAATCGTTTCTAAGACGAGCAGCGGGTCAGAAGATGAGAGACAAGTTATGGAATTCTTTGGATGTGGCATACTTAATATCATGTCGCCGGCTGGGAGGAAGAAGCCGCCCATGTAGCCCCCAAGGGCCCCAACAGCGATGAGCCGGACTGGGAAGCCCTCTGGACGGCTGTAGGGTGCCGCGAGACAGGGTGGCCCGTGATAAGGCCTATTGACAGGATCGTATGTCCAGTCGAAGATGGTCTTTGGTGTTTGGCGGGCTCGCTCGGATGTTGAGTCGGGTGTTCCAGCGCCGCAGCCGATTTGGAGAGACATCGTGGCAATTGGGTAATGTTTTTCAAGCAGCGAGGAGAAGACTAATGTTGATTTGAGGGCTGGGAGAGAAATGTATGGGAGAAGGAGAGTCGAGGGCAGCGGACATGGTGGGATCGACTTCAGCTGTTGTGGTTGCATTTCATATTGCTTTTGCCAGACACGCCACCGGCTGCCACGGTGATGAGCATCAGCGATAGACGCCCTGTATGGTTTCTTTTGTTATTTCGCAAGTATAAGAGTCTTCTTCACATTGGCTTGATAAAATACATGGTATTTGAGCGTTATGATGCACATTGGTTCGCATCATTCGTCGTTTTACACGCCGTCCGACTCTTAAATTCGAGCAGATTTAGTAACAACGTATTACTCTCTCGCTACTGAGTACAATTATTTCCCACAACTCTGAAACAATAGTGAATCAATTGTTTATTTCACCCTGCGGGGGTAGATAGGTAATTAGCATAGTGAACTTCACCATAATAACCCGGAGGAGCATCGCACGCTGTCAAGGTGGTGGGATCCCAACAATGAAGCTGCCATTTCCCTTCTTCTTGGGATTTAATTATGCAACAAGGTAGTAAAGATTATCGGTGGAATGGGAGGAGTAATTGGTATGCTACTGTGTACATCAACGTCTTAACATTCTATTACTTCTACTGTTCTCCGAATTGGCGCCTACGAACACAACACCTACCTGATCTAGACTTGGATAAATTGCAACGAGACGTTAGATGATGGATGGCAGTAGCAGACTGCAGCGTCTTCTGCTACTTAGTCAAGAATACCGAGTCTGGACGATCACCATTTTTGCGTTGACTTGAGCCTAGAGGGCCCTATTATCGTCTCGCCGGCGGGCTATTTTCACAAGTGAAGAACTCCCCAGGCCTGCTCTCGTCTTTGTTTCGTGCTCGGTTCTCTTTGTGAGGTGATTTTATGGCATGGGGGGGATTTCGATTTAGATATCCCATTCATCTGGTAATGTTCGCAACGTCACCCTGGCCGACTTCTCCAACGACAAAGAAAGCATCACGACGAGTATGTATCGAGAACGTCTCGGCTCGGGATCGATCGATAGTTTGGCGGGAAGCGCTTCGTCCAAGGGGAAGTTTGATTGAGCGAGCCTCGCAAATGGTTGAACCGAGGGGAGTCTTCTTCAAGCGCACTCGGGGTACCAGGCCTAGACCCAGGAGCGACAAACATAGCCTTCAGAGGATGTCACCGTGTATGGGGTCGATCTTGGCTAGTATAAGGGCTCTTTCGTAGGCTGAGGCAATAGATTCATCTCCGTGGCTGGTCTTCGCTCGCGTCGTTGCGCTATGCTTACATGGAGGGAGTTGTCGATTTCTGGCTCGGCGATGGAGAAGGTACTCCTTTGATTATCGGATTGACCATCGCCAAGGAGTTCGCCGTGCTGAGACTCGCTCTCGCCATCTCGGGAGGTCGTAGCTTTTCTCGTGGAAATAGGTCGGCTGGGAGAGGAATGTTCGGTGGTCTTGCTTTATCGCTGTGGCCGGCAGTGGTGGTCTTCGTAGATCGACGGCCCCCTTGACGGTCGTACCTCTGGTAGACCACCGTGGTGCAGGGCGGGAGAGGGGATTGCCATCGTCTGGATTGTTGCTGGTTATTGATGTCTGTGCCAAGTGCCAAATGCCTCCAACCTCAGCACCAAGAGCCAATGCAATGCTCGCCTTAGTCATCAAACATTCCGCTCCACGCCGCACGCCAGTGAGGTCATCAGCATCATTGCTACTCGTTCACCGCCTGTATGATTGATTGCCGAGGGTTTGAAAAAACATCTGCAGGATTACAATGCCCGCTTTACAGCTTCCCAGGGGGTCTCCATGACGCACTCTCCGGCCAGGAGCTACCCTTTCTCATGGCACTCGGCATTTCCCCCCGCACCAAAGTGAGGCTCGGTCGTTAACTAAGATCAACATTTGAAGCTCCCCAAGAACTATTAAGTTATCCAATGAGACAGCTTGGTTTCCTAATCATAGAACCGAACATGGAGGTGGGTATTCTGCCGTGACCCTCGACTCTCCTTGGGCAATACGGGGGCCGTTTTGCAATCTGGGAACCAGACGTCTCTTGTGATGGGAAATGAAATTCACGCGAACTATGGAAGGACGGCAGGGTCTTGTACAATCAATGTTATTCCAGGATGTCTCGATGTGTCTTCAATCGTGTATCATATTTGAAAGGCTTTGGACCCATGAGCTATATACAAAATATGCCATAATATTTTCATAAAAATGCTTAAGATGGGAAAAATGAAGAACTGATGCAATGATGATATGATAATGCCCGCTTGAAAATGACGATGTCCCAACACTGGTCTGCTTCTCCTGCTTCACCCGCCTCGTCGATAGTCATACTGCTTCAATGTCGGGCTCTTTCATGAGCTCACTGATACTGTGTTCCTTGCTTACATGATCGATGAGCGTATCGGCGCTGGGGCATAGCATGTCGCTCTCTCGATGCTTTCTGCAGAGAACGCAGGCAAAGTCGCCGTGGTGGGTGTGGCACTTGATGACGAAGCGTGCATTGGCGACAAATTCAATTCGCCCTTGCCGTCTCTCCCTGTATCCGTCCGGTGATGGGGGCGGAGACGTGCGTTTTTCAATGACCCAGCGATCGTCCGATTCCACGTCGACCCGAACACCACAGTCGGGGCATCGGCAGTCATTCCGGGGAGCGAAGTTGATCGCAAGAGGCTTATGCTGAGAATATTGCAAGTCGAGGCTATACCAGCAGTATAGCGGATCGGACTCAACAACAGCAGTCGACTTGACAGAAGACGGAGCAACAGACCTAACAGAAGACGCGACAGAAGACCTCCTAGAAGACGACACAGGAGACCTAACAGAGGGCTGGACAGGAGGCCCAGCAAAAGGCTGAACAGGAGACCTGACAGAAGGCTGGACAGGAGACCTAACAGAAGGCTGGGCAGGAGACCTGATAGAAGGTTGGACAGGAGACCTAATAGAAGACTGGACTGGAGACCTGACAGAAGAGTTGGAGGAACGGCTCGGAGGACCTTGGGTCAGCTGCAGCTGGCGGGGCATCTCTTCAGGAGCCGCCAAGGCCAGCCGCTGTCGTTGTTGACGGAGAGCATCCAGAGACCCCTCCCGCGCAGCGTCAGACGCAGCGATGAGCTTTGCCTTGTCGGCGCGGTTCAGTTTGCGGCCGGATTCTAGAGCATCCTGCAAGACGTTGATGACAGTTTGCTGAAGAGTGATGACTTGTGCCTGGAGCTTGTTCTCGGTGGCCATGTCTCCGATGGCGAACCTTCTGCCCAGCTGGTCATAGCCAATCTGGAACTCCCGGTTGATGAGCGCGCTGGACCTTTCAAACGAGTCGATGACCTCGTCTCGGGAATTGCGCCTGCATTCTCTTGGCCCCTTCAGCTCCTTCTCTCGAGCTTGCTTCTCCGACTCTTCGATCCGTTCTCTTAGCTTCTTGATCTCCTCATCTTGAGTTGTGTCACGGATATGTTGCTTTCTCTTCTCCTTGACCTTGTCCCAGAGGCCAATAGAGGAGGTGAAGGTACCGATTATGGTGGAGCACACGGTGGCGATGATAAATCCTTTCTGTCACAAGTCTCAGCAGGCGTTCATGCGTCAAGGGTTCTGGTGGTGTAAGTGGGCTCACCTTGAGGTACTTATCCTCGATCATATTAGCGTGGTTCATCGTGCCCAATGTCTCGGATGTCTGCTGCCAGCGCAGTTCGAATGGAATAATTATGACCGAGAAACTTGCTAGGCCTCCGGTTGAGGGGTCTAAAGTCTTGCTCAACGCGGTATATAACGTTGGCCGGCCTCAGGGGAAGGGTGATACGGGCTGCGTGGGAGAGTCGCGCCGGTGTATGATGACGCACATCGCGTTGGACCGGCTATTTCACACCGCAAGATTGGAATGCTTCACTGGTGCTCCTTCATACGAGCCGAGCCCTTGCCATCTCCTCTAACAGCTCATCCGCTTGTGTTCCCGCTATCTTAGTGCTTTATTGCATTATAAGATGATGTCATGACGGGTCCCTGGGCCAATGCCGGAAATCCCGCCACACACACTCGAAACAGGGACTCCATCAGCTAATCAGCTTCGAGCAAGCATTTCCACTCTCTGGGACGGCCTGATATCTTCAGTAAAAGGGGAAGTGATGTCCAAGTAACACCAATGGATATCTGACAAGTCATATCGACATGACCAGCTGCCGGGATCCCCCCACATTCTAACGGCCTCTACTGCGCGCTCGTTGTAGAGCACATGGTCCCTATCACATCTTTAATGGAGACGTTACTAAGTATATTGATGCCGCTCCCATAATAGCATGAACTGTGCCCATGATCGACCCTGGGAATCAGTGGGTTGATGGCAGCTTGCCCCACACTATTTGGGCTGATGTGGTCTTGGATTTGTTAGCTTGGCAACTTGGCTGCCAGTTTAATGCAGTGTTTCTCCAAACATACGAGGATGGAAAGTCTCATGCCCTGTTGATCTGCTGCCTGGTTCAGTGTCTGGATTATATCGCGGTCGTAGACCATGGAGCAAGGCAACTTTTACAACACTTTCTTCGCCGCAACACAGAGAAACAGGGGAGCGGCATCTGAAGAGCTAAGAAGAGGGTGGTGATACATCTTGTTTGATTTCCCAATTCCCTTCACCTCAGGGTCCGGGATTTACTAGTGGCGCCGAGACAGAAGGTTCAACTACGTTGATCGCTGCGGGATTGCCCGTCATTAGGTTGAGCTATTCCTGCCCTACCACAGCCATAGACGATGTGAAAAACTCCCTAACTTAAAACCCATGCGATCTTCATGATTTATCTTCCTTTCATCCTTTATCCCGTGCTCATATTCTCTGATACACCGGGATGGGAGCAGAAATGACGCCATGAGTGTAGAGTTGATTCTGGAAATCCTCAAATCACAATCACGCAGCCCCTCTTTACATGTAGTATGACGTTCTGCATCAACGAGTCCGACCTCATTATTAATCAAAATCAGATTAGGAGATCCCGAAGATGAAGTCTCTGGATCAGACACCCTTCCTCAATTACATTCACATGTTGTGTGTACAGATATCATAGGCAAACATGCGGTACTATATGCAGGGACCTTGATTATGGATTCTTTAAGCATGCATTAATTACTTATGATTATCTTGGACTTTTTAATCCCCCGCCTGGCTAAACCACTGGCTAAGGGCATGAACTTGTCTTTGAGGTACTAGAGATCAGACCACACCAGACCGTGTGAACCACCACCACCAGGAACTCCCCTACTTTACATAGTTAAGTCAAGGTACAGCCGGCAAGCCTATATGTACTATCGATATATTATTTTCCTCGTTTCTCATTAACGTATTACTATTTAATCTATTAGATAGGGACTTAATATCGTCGCACATCATGCCACCTGTCTCAAGGCCTCACAACTTCTATAGTAATTAGTGTGATATAATCCTGGCATTCAACATGAACTACCATAGATTTCCTTTTCCCAAAGCCACGCTAACATCATACGCAACCAGTTTATGAATAGCAACACTAGGATGAAAATCATTATACCAAAGCTACATAAACAGAAGTCAGCAATTAAAGGATGATTCTCAAATGGAGTGCTTAGAGTTTAGATCATACACATGACTTTCCATCTGTATTCTGGCAAGTAGCGTCTGTTGCGTTGTATTTCTTCGGGTTGTTGATAGCACTATTGAAAGGTGCAGATGTGTCAATGAGCGCGGTTCGGGCGTCCTTATGTGCAGAATTAAATGATTTAAGCTTTTCGGAGATACGCTTATTGTATTCGGAAATTTTCTTGGTAGGCTTCTCGCTCTTGGCTATGATTTTTGGAGTCTTATCCAATGCTGAAGATCTCAACATCATTAGCCCTCAAGGTAAAGAATTGACGAAGGGTGTGAACTCACGTGGGACTTGTAATAGAAAAAAGTTTCGTATCCCAGCGTCATACAAGACCTCAAGTTGTTCAAAGTATACGTCGACTGACTCGTTAATGTACTCTGAAGCATTCTGCCGTTGGTAAGAAATATCCACATCATTGATTCCGATCCATATGCCGGCCAGTGTATTGTTGGACTCCCACGGTGCATAATCGGGCTTTTTGGCGAGACTTTTCGTGAAGCTCCCAATTTGGTCGGTCAATGTAAGTATGCTGTCACTTGACGGTGGGATGACCGATCTGTCTACTGTTGCGCCAGGGTATGCAAAATTATAGACAAATGTATTCGTGTTTTTCTTATTGTAATCAGATACGAGCCAACCCAGCCAGTTATAACCTCCAGAAGTTGTAACTCCAGGAAAGGCTGGGTTCCCAAATGGGTTCTCCTGGTCTGGCTTGGTGCTGGAAATGTTGAAACCAGTTGTAGAATACGAGTCACCACTATTTGTTGAAGTCGAGATAATTAGACATGGCAAGAGTCGCTTGACCGCAGTCCCAAATAATACGACTCACAATATGAACATGCATCTCACATCTTTTTCAACCTTGGCTCCTCTTTCTTTGCGAACTTCGCCCATGGCCAACCAGGTTGCAAATATTCGAAGAAATAGCATGGTCAAGGAGAATAAGAGCAATGCATGCCGGTGCTAAAGAAGCTGGAGGCTAACGCGAGAAATGGAAAAACCTTCATCTTAAGTGCTCTGGTTCGACTGGGTGTTCATGCGACTCTGCATGAACTATGCGATGTAATATGGCAAAGGGTGGCCCCGCCCCATGAAATACATGCAGCGTACTAAAAATAGGTGCTGTTCGCGACAATTTGTCTGAACTAGACCCTGAATTCTCCCATCTGAGGCAAAGACTAATCTGGAATAGGTCGCGGCAGATTCAAAACAGAAAGCAAGTTTAGCGACTGGCTACTTGCGAAATTCCCATCCATGGTACAACGTGAACCCTGTCAAGTCTTCAGTAGATAACTTACTCGTTCTCAAACGCCTTCCTCGCAAACCTGAGTACACCTTCGAGTAGCAGATACACACGTTTCCAGAGAATTCATTATCTGGGTCTTGGGCTAACAAGGGATTAAGGGATTGGGCAATTGAAAGTCATACAAGAAAAGCTCTGAAGTGTTGAGTTAGTGATTCTTATGATGCAGAACTTGCTGCTCTGTCTGTCTTTGAGATTCTCACCCCTCTCTCATTCCCCTATGTAGTAAGCTGGCTTTAGAAAAGTAAAATAATACATTGTGTGGGGTATCCGAAACCAACTCCGAGATATTCCTCAAGTTCTTTCATCAGGCACAGCCTGGAAGTGTGCTATTCACTGGCAGCTTTTGATGTATCTCGGTCTTTTTCACTTCGACCGAACCAAAGACCTTTGGGGACTTTTCCCCTCAATAACGGTAGTCGGCCATTGGCCCCTTCACCCTCTTCCCATAATCCTACGGCTCGTGCCGCTATATTTACAGTCTGGATCTAGGATAAGCGGCGGGATATCGCGGTGTGCGATATTTTGATACCGAGTTCTTCTTTGTCCTTCTTCTCAGAAATACTTTCTTCTTCGACGATAGTGCTGTCTGAAGTATGTCCTGCGTTGATGATGGTGAGTTCAGTTTGCATACCCTCCTCTCTCCTAGCATGAAGGGCCTTGATGTCAATTGTTGGGCCCAAAAAGGTCTTCTTCTTGGTAGTGAACCACAAGAGGAGGATGAAAGCCATCATTCCCGCACAGACGATAGAGACATAGTTCATGTTCTTGCCCGAAACGGGCATCCTGGTAGGGAAGCAATAGATGACGTTGAGGAACACAACCCAGCTGACAGCAAGGGCATTGACGACCACACCGAGCTTTCCGAGATTCATATAGCGAGGAGGTAGAACCTGGTCACGCCCGCGAAAGAGGAGAACAGCCTGAGGGAGGACGATGGAGGTTTGTACAAAGATGATGGCGGCGCTGACCATGGCGGAGAATGCTGTCGATGATCCGAGGAATAGCAATCCGTATATCTGTAATATCCGGTAGTTAGTATGTCTTTCGTAGTTTTGCAGGAATATGGAATTGGGCCCTCATACCGAGATGAAAGACGCAGATAGTAGGATCGCGTTGACGGGAACTTCCGCGACTGGATGGATCGCATCCCAGTACTGTGAATAAGGGAGCACGCCGTCCCGAGCAACAGCCCATACGGTTCGTGACGTTGTGGTGGCTTATTCATAATGGTTAGCCTACAACTGGAAGTGTGACAAGCAAAAGCGTAGAAACTCAACTCACCACAAGCGATCAGAGTGCTAAACTGAAAGAAAGCAAAAATGCCAAGCAGAACAGATGCCCCAATATGTGATTGAGTTCCTTGCCGATAAATCTGAAAGAGTGGCAAGCCCTTGGTATTGGTGAGGACAGCATCGAGATCAGTTACTGAATACATCAAAGCTGTGAGAAAGGGAAATGCCGTTATCAGTCCAATGATAGGCGGAAAAAGCGTAACTAGAGGGATGGTCTTGGATGGGTTGGGCACTTCTTCGGCCATTTTCGCAGCGCAATCTCCTCCAAGATAGGCAAAAACGGAATTTCCTACGGCAAGCATGAATGCGAACCCATCACTTGACCACCCGGTTCGATTCTCGATTTTGGTGAAGATGGTGGTGGCAGTGGCATGATTGTTTCGAGGAATAACGAAAAGTATGATGCAGGTCGAGGTAAGACTCGTAATTGCCAAGACGAAAGTCATTTTGTTGTAGCGAGGAATCCAGTTGGCCAAGAAGATATTGGCCAAAGCTGCAATCCAAATAAGACACACATAGATCAAGTACTTTTGCCAAGATTGAGGCTCGAAGTCGGGAGTCCAAGCGACAGTGATGTCTAGAATAGTAGAAGCAACGAAGTTGGCGACGGCAGCAGATGCAAACCACCATCCGATGACGGTCAGCCAGGCAGTTCTGAGAAAGGTCAGCAATATCTTCACATGGAACCGCCATACTCGAGGATAAGCTCACAAGTATGATGTAAATGCCTTGTAATCATCGCGTGCGACCATGAACGACCAATAGTACTGTGCCCCTGAAACGGGATATGCTGAGGCCAGCTCAGCCATACCAGCGGCAACTACGAATGTCATAAGACCAGCAATAGTCAACGCCCAAATCATGCCGCCCTGGCCTGCTGCCATCAACCCAGCGCCAATGGACGACGCGGTTCCCTGCCAGGTGCTCGTCAAGGTAAACGCCAGCGCGGCAAGAGACCAGATCGAGAAGCGCCGAGGCATCTCAGGCTGGACGCCAGCCACCTCAAGCTTGGAACCGTCCGCAGCCATTCTCAGCCCGGAGAGACAAGCAAGTGCAAAAGATTAATAATACTGATATTGAACGATTAGTTGAGATTGTTCCGGCTCTGTGCCGCATGGTCTTCTGTCTGTTTCTCAATAGTTATATATCCCAGAGATCTCCAAGCCCCTGGTGCATGGGCTTTCGAGGAGTTGAATTCCAGTCGAGGGCCGGCGATAAGGTGAAATCATCCCCGGCACCTGCTTTTTTTCCAACCATATCCCTTTGTACCTGGATGGCCCCGAACATGAATCAAAGTCATTTATCGCCGAGATTCGTTACTGCAATGTCATGTGTAAAAAGAGACCGAGTCATTCATACCTTGAACCCATCATTGCCTTCTTCTTCTAGCCTGGAAGAGTCACCTTTATCGGGCCAAGTTTCAAGCCCCCTCTCTGATTGAACCTTTTTGACCTTGTGCCTGAGAAGTATGCGCCACTGGTTGGGACAACGCATGATGCTGCTGCCACAAGTGACTCAGTCCGGCCGTAAATCCCAAGTTGCCGCAAGACCTGTACCCGTAAAGCGACTCCCAGCCGACCTTAAGATGTCACCAACAAAGCCTCCCTTGGAAGCTCTCGAGCTACTCCGCATACGCTCCAACATCTCATTCGCCCCTGGGATCAGGGACGGAGAAAGTGAAACCTTGCGTTCCAGCGTGGAAGCCGTCACGAAGATTCTAGCGCGTCATATGTCTCATATTTGAAATCTGCGGCAGCTTACATAGATGATGCTTCACACGCGTTCTAGGCAATGGACCTGATAGCTACATCACATTTCTCTTGGCCCACAACATGATAGCACTACATCAAACTGGTGTTTCCGTGACGCTCCCCCCAAATGTTAACTCACATATCATATAATTCACCTATCTTCAATGTTCAATGCGTAGTAGCTTAGTTCACGGATAGCGCTTCAGTCACCAGGCGGATATTCTTTACAAATGTCTTACATTCCATCCCGTCCAAGTGCTCGGTGGGCTTCAGTCGCCTCCCCCTCGTCAGGCTTGTGTGAAAACAGGAAAAGTTGACCATTGTGAATCGCGCGATGAATGGAATTCATCATTGATTACAAAAGCAGTTGAGGTTCAAGTTCAAATTCTTTGAAGTTCAGTATCCGACGTCAGAAGGGGCAGTAAAACCGCTGTCGCTGCCAGAAATATCCTTCGGCCTATCAAATAGGCGTATATGCCTAAGGGAGGTAAAATCAAGAACAGGTGGCCATCTTCAGTGAGAAGTGAAGTCATTTCCACGTCTAGATTCCCTGTGTTTAGGTAAGGCCTCACCCCGAGCTGCGCTGATCAAAGAAATATTATGATGACCACTTAGCTGGAGAATTATTCAATGCAAGGCAAGCCCCTGGATATTTTGTTCTATCATTAATTTAATTAGTTATTGAGGTATTAGTGATAAAATATTTCCACCTAGAACGCCTCAAGGGCCTTGAGCTTTCAGTGACACAAGGTTTCGGAACGTCATCGGCCCACCGGTACATCTTCTCCCTGAATAACGAATGAGAATGAACAGCTCCAACTCGACGCAGGCTATTTATTCAAAGGGTTTCCTACGAATCGGAACGTAATATCGGATCAAGTTGAAGCCCATTCTTGCCAATCAGGACCAAGGACTTGGAAGAATAACTTGACTTGAGGAACCATCATTGTTAACGAGACGCCTCATGCTTCGAGGTCTTTTTAGTATCAATAAGTACGGTAACTAATGAACGAGCTCTGGTCCGTCGGTTTCTAGGTGCTATAGGGTACTCGTGGCACGGGAGATCTGTCTGGCTTGAGACGTGCCAGCGAGACATGTGGTTAAACACGATTGCCTTATTTTAGGGTAAACTATTTCTTTGGAGCTGGAGGTGAGTCTAAAAGATCAGTGTTATATATGCAATTGAAACTCTTGATTTGTAAATCGCCCATAGACTACCATCGTCTCGCGACGCCTTGATCGACGTGTCTCAAACCAGAGACATACCCAAGGATGCAGACTGGCGAGCTTCATAGAGGAGGTAGTAATCTTCTACCCACCGTAATAGGTTAGACCTTTTTATTGATGATTCTCTAGATGTATCACCTACTCTGATAAGAACTTATCACTTTCTTAGTGTTATCTATTTGTTTGATAAAGTTATAGAGTAGACTAGCAGGAGAGGTATAATGCTAAAGCTGTTGAATTAAGGCAAACGTGCAGCTAGCTAAACGGCCTATATAAGAATATTCGAGTATATTTCAATGGAGTAGCGCGGTGTAGCATGGTGCCAAGGGAGCTTTGCTGAAGCAAACCGCGTTTATTACCAATATAGCGAAGGCGATACTATTTCTGATATATACATAGGTGAGGGGGCGCATAGCACCAGATTGCAACAAAAAGGCTTAAAGAAGGAATCGATAACCAATTTAATTATCGATGGCTTTGTGAAAGCGACCAAATGGACTATGCGTGCATGTTATATTAGGGCTGTTTGAGACTGATTTCCTCAACCATGTCTACTCTCGACTCTTACTGCTACTCCAGTTAGGTGAGAGGATACACTGCTCAGACTGTTCCTAAAATGTTAAATTGGCAGCAGTGTTGCTAGCTCCGCCCACCCACGAACGCCTTCCATGTTCTGCCCTTCTCACGACCGGGCATGCGTAGACCTCTTCATTTCCGCAGTCAACTTCTCTACAGGGTCTTCAGCATCAACCACATACTGGTCTGAAATTCCAGCATCAAGCTCAGGAGGGTGAAAGTGAGTTCGAATACTCCTAAGCTCAGCTAGGCCAAGCCATAGCATCAAGGTGTGGTAGAACTGTACAATTTGACTACAGTGACTGTTTCTGTACTGTTTTTAGTAGTGTTCTAAGAGTATGACGAACTTGCAATGAATACCTGTTAATTTGGAGCGAGATATGGTGATTTAGGAGTATGACGAATCCGACTGAGAGGATGTAGAGTGGGACGGCTCCAGACACTCCAGATTCGTAGATCGCGATTACAGCTCCAAGGAAAACACTCTGGGAATAAACAGAAGCTTTAGACTGTATGGTATCCAGGCCGGTACGTTTGGAGAGGAATATTAGCATCCTCGTATATAGAAACGCGTTCAGCATCCGTATTGTACCGCGGTGAAGTGCATCACTTCTCGTGATATAAGCAGCTAAGCCGGTTGATAGACGAAGGATCCCGCCCGCTTGATATGAAGGACGCGTAGTGATGTCTCCTCTTAGCAAAGTCTTGGAGAGATGCAGAGTTGTGAGCGTATGAAGCACGCAGAGAGCGGTATCAGTGGCGTCGGGTACAGGTTTTCTGCCATAGATGGCCTGAGAGTGGAAGTGTAAGATCTCGTAAAGTCCTACAACGATATGAACAAACAGAGGAACATTACTCCTTTTCCGAAATGTTATTTGATATGACGGAATCGATTTCCTGGTATGATAGAAGAAGATGGCCAAATAGGCCAGCCCCATAATAGATGCCCATATGTCCCTGGTACATGGCGGAGAAGAAAAAAATTTGTCTTCGAAGTTAATCGCCATTATAAAGAGGATATCGACTTTACAGGAATATCTGTGAAATGATGGATAGAAATGATGTTTGCGTCTAGCCAGTGCTTCCTTAGTTCACTTGCCGTAGAGGAAGAAGTCTGCTCGGTCGACAAGCGAAAGGCAGGGAATGGGGTGCTATATACTTCAAATGCTTAAGCCCAAATAGCAGTAAAGCCAATAAAGTACGCCGAACAACCATACAGTTCTTTTCATACGAGTCAGTATTAGTGATCTTTGCTAAAGCCGACGATCAGTATATATATAACATATGCTACCGAGAATTAACGGCAGGATTTAGACTGTGACTACCTGCCGCATACATTCCACTTCTCAACCCTAGAGTAGCAATTAGGTACTGCTCGATTCAAGGATACGGAGGGAGGGCGGTCAGGTGAAGACGGGCCATAATCCCTTCTGCCCCTTTATTACAGTAATTGACTAGTCCTGTTACTGGCTATACCCAATGGTAACACCGGCTACTCTCTGTAGTGCTGTCTGAACTAGCTAGCTGCCGATTCAATACTGTCTCACGGCGAGTTCTACTAGATGAAACAAGGATCTCTCTACATCACAGGCCTAGAACTTATACGGATCAGATGAGTTGTGTGCCGAGTAATCAATGCAGAGTTAATAACGCCCAAGCAAGTCTCCGCTATTCAGATTTTCTCTATGAGGCGATTACACTCTGGCTAGTTCCATGTGACTGCTGCTACAACTTTAACCCTAGATAAGGCGCCGGACTTTTATCGTAGGATGTAGGTGTTACTAGAGTTCATGGTGTGTGTCCTCCTGAGATGGCCAGAGCTCCATGTCAAAATTCTACGTGGCACTTGTTGATCGCTTCATCCGATCTGCTAGACTAGTTCTGTCTCAAAGAATCATGTCTGAGAGATATAGAACGAAGACGAGTGTTATTGGCTAAAGATTTTGCCACGGGCTAGACCCCTATGACCGGCTTGCCGGCACTTATCTGTGATGTCTCCCACTTGCCGCTACCCAAGCGTACTCGCGATACCGGCAGGCATCGCCTTGCGGGTTGGCCTTATCAACGCCACCTTATGACGCCTACTGACAACATAGATGTTAAGGAGAACATTCAAGCTACCTATATGTCTTAGAGAGCTGGCCGCAAGATTTTTGCCGCCGGTCAGAGTCGGCTGACAACATCTCGTCAAATTCGAAGAAGAAGTGAAAAGTGGCGGCTTCGACGCAAACAAATATGATCACGAAAGTGACCGGCGAGACATACATATAATTACCGTAACTGAACATGACATGACATGCTTCTGTTCACGAAACAAATGGTGGAGAGAGATGATCTGCAAGGCAACCAACATGAAGGGGAAGTGGGGAAAGGCAGATTTGTGTGATCTGACTTCGCCTCTCTTCATTGCACAGCCTCACATTCAGCCCTCAATCCATTTAGTAGCCATCACCGGGAGCCACACTCTGGCTTTGTTTTTTGTAGATGCACCGGCTTTGCCAAAGTAATTTCTTTCCTTGCTTGTCCTTCCTTTTCGCGTCACTTCAGGAATAATGGATCCGCTCCGTGTATCACAGCTCTATTCCAACCTCGCCATTCCTCCGGCATCGCGGTGCATCCGGCTCCTGGAAATTGAAGCTGCAGTGGATGGATTGGACGGTCTCGACACATTGGGACCCTTGACAGGCCACTTGAGATTGGTGAACCTGGACGACAACCCTTCATTTGTTTCGCTCTCTTATGTTTGGGGCAAGGGGGCATCTAGCCACTATATTGTCTGTGAGCCTGGCAACTGCCTGGTAAATATCCCTCGGAACTGTTTCCGAGGGCTGCAGCAAGTCACCCGTCGCTTTGGTAAAGTAGCTATCTGGGTGGACTCGATATGTATCAACCAAAATGACGACGAGGAGAAAGTCCATCAGATCCCCCTGATGAGAGATATATACAGCATGGCCAACTGTGTCTACGTCTGGCTAGGCGACGGCAATAAAGCGTCAGACCGAGCTTTGAAGTTTCTAAAAAAGCAGGCTCGGCTCGGCCCGAGGCCCCCTTTGGCCATCGTGCGGGCGCAGTCTGACGATGAATACCGAGATGCTCTGCGGCAGTACCAGCATGCTTCGTGGCGAGACATGATCTGTGGGCGCACTCTTTTCCCTTGTAGTAAAGTAGCAAAACATCCCACTGACAATTGTGCCGTTTAATCCTTTAGATCGTCTTTCTTTGTGGCGTCTATGGACCAGAAAGGTCGACTTGGACGTGATCCTACGCAGCCCGTGGGTGTTCCGGTGCTGGACTTTCCAGGAGTTCCTCTTGGCGCGCGACATGGTCTTCCTCTGCGGAGAAGAAACAATCATATGGGAGGAATTGGCAAACGCAATCTATTTCCGTCATAGGGAATCTCTGAGTTTAAAACCCGTGAAACTGAAATCTAGCATTAACGAGCTCTTTACCATCAACGAGCCCTCTGCCATTAACGGGGTCCCTACTGAAGAGTGGTGGCCCCTTGTCACGCTTTGGTTTAACTTCCCTCGAAGTGGCTTGCGTTCGTGGCCTCGGCAAGGGAGAGATCAACAACGGGTAAAGTCCATCCAAGAGGGAGTCGGGAGCGTATGGAGTGCGTCTAGATATGGCCCAGCAAGCCAAGTGCACGTGTTCTGTATAGGTTCTAGTGTGCTGGTTGGTGTTGCTCTGGTGGCGCTCTACTGCGCTCTATGGAAGGGCGTGAAAGCTGTAATAGATGACTCTGGATTGTTCGGCGTCGTCTGTTTCTTCGGCAGCCTCGTCTACTTGCCAACGTCGATAGACCTACTTAAGAACTGGATACGGCTCGTGATTGGGCTCAAAGACCCGTGGGCAAAAGCGAATTTTGCGGACGGCGAGATCCGTGCCCGCGTCATCGATGGCGTCCGCTCAGCGTTGAAGAATCGCGACTGCTCGGACCTTCACGATAAGACATTCTCTTTGTACGGTATCCTCGACATCTGCCGCATCACGCCAAGTAAACCAGACTACGGACGCTCGTTGGGCGAGACCTACCACACCCTCATGCATGAGCTTATCGCCTGGGATCCCCAGGCGCTCGTCATGATCCTCGATGCGGGAAAGCCTCTACAGCTATCACCATCCTGGATCCCAAACTGGTCCGAGAGCGGCCCCAGCGAGTGGCTCGTATCGCAGTACCTTATGTCCACCGGGGCCTGTCCAAACGCAGCCCATCCGAGTCTGCCCAGAGACGTCATTATTCTCGACAAAACCATCCTTCGACTTCAAGGGCATCGCATTGGCCCAGTCACGTTTAGTACAGACATGGTCATCCCGGCCGAGGGTAGAAACCCCCAAGTGCAGCCACGCCTTGGCCGAGACCTGTTGGTATCAGCACTGTTTCGCCTCGTGCAATTCTTCGCATGTGTAGGGAGAGGAACGAGTGACGGTCTGCTTAGAGATGACACGACAACTACAGCATTCGCCGTGCTTGAAGGGCTAATTAGAATACGAGGGGGAACACACAAGCGAGCCAGTGGTGGTATGGCGGCGGTACACGACGTGCGGCTGCCTGCTTGGGAGGGCCCATATGATTTTACCAAGGAGAAGAAAGAGTTCTGGCGGTTGGCTGAGCTGCTCAAGGTGATTGCGGCTGCATTGCCGAACTTCAATCTCGAATCAGAAGAAGCGTCTAGACATGCGACTGTCCAACTGTTTGAGCAGCTTGCGAGCTGGGCTTATATAGGAAAATACTTCCTTCGGCTGGTGGAAATTTTGGTTGAACAGAAGAGAGGTCTTTATGTCTTGTCGGGTGGGCTTGCAGGTACGGGCCCTCTTGGAGTCTCTGTTGGAGACGAAGTCTTCGTGATCCCCGGTATTCCGACTCCCATGGTGTTGAGAAAAGCAGATAATGGTCGCGGTTGGACAGTCGTTGGGGCTACGCTTGTTCATAGCATCATGTACGGTGAATCATTCGTCGAGGGTAAATATGGGACTGGGTATGAGACTATAGATCTCTATTGAATAGAGCGTTGATTCTTGCTTTGTCGTTGTTCGTGTTTAGATACTTTTGGCTCTCCTTTTCGAACCCGTTATCTTAGACATCACTGCTACTATAAAACAATACTTTCTGGCTGGAGCGAGACTGTAGGACAATAGTTTAGTACTGAGTCTATGGGATGATGTACTAAGAAGCGGTACAATATTTTCTTGCCAGATCTCAAAAGCCTTCACAAATAAGCATAAATTGAAAATTTAATACAAACTGGCGACGAAGTCAAGAAGTGAACAATTTAGCCTATCTAAAAGTCCCCCTGGATAGGTCTAAATTTAGCAGTTGACCTCAACCGCGTTGGAGAAGTAGGTGTAGCTGTCGGCGTGCTTGATGTTCTTGCTGGCAGGAAGTCGTCGAAGTGCGGCATAACCATAGGCGTTGAAGTCCTGGGTGCCCTTGAGACTGTGGCTAAACTCGTGGAGGATGACGCTCGCCCTGTCTCCCTGGTGGCACGCGCCGTTGACTGGCTGGCTGTACCACGCGGGGCAGAAGACTGTATTCATGCCGGAAGCATAAGCGACAACGCCAGGGTTGCTCTTACAGAAGTTGGTGTTGGCACAGCTAAAGGAGATCCTGCCGCTGTTGTTGGTGCTGCACTCCTTTGCGATGGCGTCAAAGACTCCAGCTACGGTCTTTCGGGTGGCGGAGGTGGCTGACTTGAAGTACTCCTTCATTCTGCGCTCAGGTCCGCTCCTGGCTGCCTTTGCGGCGGCTTTGGCGTTCTTGTTGCAGAGGGAGAGTGCGTTCTTGGCTTTGGTGAGCTTATCGCCCTTGCAAGTGTTTCGATTGACCTTGGCGCGTCCGAAAACCTGGGGTTCATCCTGAAAAACCGAGAGCTTGCCCTTTGCTTCAGGGCCATCTACCTTGATGGTAAAGGTGGACTCGTAGGGGATGACACCGGCAATCTCAGTTGAACCCTCGGCGTATTGGATGAATCCAGATGCATCAACCTGAAACTCGCCACCAGCGGAGAGGTCATGGTATGTAGCCACGTCAAAGGTACTCTCCAGTGCTCCATTGGCAGGGAGATTGACAAAGGAGGAGTCGGTGAGGTTCACATAGTTGATGTACAACCGAACCCCTTGGAATTCAATCTCGTTTTCTGCTTGACAGTCAGCTTATTGAATTCCTCTATGGCTTGTGTAGCTCAACTCAGACTTACCTCCAGAGAGAACAGTGGCTTTCTCAACAGCTGACTCATCCAAAATGCTACCGATCTTCAAAAGCTTCAGGTCCGCGGTATGGTGACTCTGAACAGTGGCCTTGAAAGCTGTGGTTCCGACTTGTTCAATTTTGACCTCTACGGGCACAGCGGGTGTTGTATCGTTGGCGGCTGCTGCCACCAGAGAGAGCAATGGCAGAACGTTGAGGAACTTCATCTTGAAAGAGTGGAGGTATTGGATAATCTGTGTTAAAGAAAGTTGTTTTAGTCCAATGAGTTGCCTGCTGTTGAATAAGAATATATCAAGAGGACATTGCGTGATTAGGACGCCTTTTATATTTAATTCTATCCCTTTGAAACCACTCAGTACAGGCATAATTTGCCACAATATCTTACCATCTACGCCTCTGAGAACTCGAAACTCAATGTGGTCTTTTGTCTATCGGCGACTACTCGTTGCGGCAACTCATGATCCATTGCAACGCCGGGCTTACTTATCCCAATCCCATTCACGCGAGTATTACACTTCGGCATTACTCAAAGCTGAGGTCTTAAAATAGTAATCTAACCAAAGTTCATGCTTCGCCAGGTCTGATCCGCCACAAGTGCTAACAAAAAGTCTGGATGGCGGTCTCATGTTCAGCTGATCCTAAAGCCTTTCCGATGGATGCCACCACATTTAAAGGCTATTCTATCGATGCGCGAGACAAAAGACCCAATCGAATCGGAGAGATTTTACATTTTTTGCCCGAACCTCCACACGAGGTCTCTCGGAACAATCTCTAAACGTAATCTGACTGTATTGGGAAGAAGCTGTGAAGGAACCAGGGGTAGAACCAATCTTAGAATTATGGTTTTGATTGGTTCATAGTTAGTTCTTAACGCAGATGAAAGCCTTTTTCGTTTCCGGTGGTCAGCTACGACATCGAGATCTCGTGTCCTAAGACAAATCTGAACTTCACCATGACCATCTCATAAGCTTCAACTTCCTCAAAGGGGACTACAGTTTCCCTCCACACCATGTATTGATCCATAAAGTTCTTTTGTGCCACCCATCGTCGTCAAGTTTTTGTACAAAGATGACATGAACTATGGATGAAAACGATATACGGAATTTGATTGGCAAGACCAGAGTTCTTCGTAGGAGCAGATAATCTCCGATGAGCCCAGCTAGAGACTGTCCTGCATTTCGGACCTTTTCTGCCTTGAAGAACACCCAATGTGAATCTCCCGTAACATTGACGGTCAGCAAAGACCACTAAACCGACCAAATATTGCAAGTCACCACCTGGCCCCTATTTTGGTGATGATGAACTGAAATGTACCTAAAGATATTATTACTACTAGTGTACATTTAACCAAATTGGCAGATGCCCCAGCAGCAGATGGGCCATCTAGGTTTAGATCTGTTCGCAGAGTTCCAAGTGTCTGCTTCTTATTAGTCGAGCCAAACATGTTGGGAAATTGTTAACTAACCACAGAAAGACCTCACTGGAAGATACTACAACAGCTTGAAGGACGAGGGGAGCCGTGATATGCTAGGCAAATATTGGGTCAATATCTGGTTCCTGAATCGTCGCTGATTTGTAGGCACCCACAACCTAAAAGTGAATGATCCAGCCGTATCCAATTGTCCCAAAAGTAAGCATCAGGACAAGAAACAAAGCACTGCGGAGGCTAGCTTTCTCAAGCAATAGTGTTAGGCATGTGATCGGCATGGGATAGGTAGACTTGGTTCTCGGCCTTGTACGTCTCGCCTCGATGCATTCATCTTCTCGGTCTCAAATAGATTTGGAATCATCAACTTGTAGATTCCGCGAGTAGCAACGATTTCATTTCTGACCACGACACGACATGTTTCCAGCAGGGCCACAAAGACGAGAGCCAAGTAAGCGTCACACAAGACGCAGAGGAACCAGAATATCAGCTTTTACCCGAGCTTTGAAACAAGGACTCCGCTAAGAATAGATTGGCCGAGGCAGCGAAATTGGGACCATACACGTGAGCGTGACGGATAGAATTCAGTACAGTCATTTACCCTGATAACAAGATTCCTACGGACAGTCCCCCAGTCGCCCGAGTAGTAACGTTAGCAATGACCCCGTACGCAAGCGAGACCGTGCCTATAAGTTCCACAATGGTCAGTTGCCGCTCTCATTCAATCGCAACAATCATTATCAGATGGGAGAGTTCTCCGGTCATACCAGAAATGCCGGCGCTCTGTAGCCTTCTTAGTCTAAAGTACCAGACCCAAGTTGGCAGCCAAGTACAAAGTCAGAGCCAAGAGATATATCAAGTGACATCCAAAGCCGTCAGCAGTGCTTCCAAGCAAAGTCGGCGTGGTGGACCATGTAAGTGGTGATGACTCAATGGACAAGATCGACTATGACACCAAGACGTTCTGAGATGGACCTGACTACTGGGTAAAAGATGAAGCTTTTCAGAGGAAGCCACGCCAGTAAAGGCATCCAAGATGATGACCCAGTGCTCCTAATTATTCCCGAGGGCAGAAAAAGGTGGTTTCAGTATCGGGGCCAGGCTCAATTACTTGCGGGAATGTGGTTAATGAATGCGCTAGTGATGGCAGTTACAGCCATGCCCGAGCCCTCTTATACTGGCAACTGATGTCGAAGCCTCCATATTATTGAACTTGGACGCGCTTTAAGATGCCGGGTAAGTATCTAGTCTAATATTGCTCCAATGTAACGTGACGTTGGTTGGGTTTGGTACGTAAAGAGTCATACTATGGAGCTCCCTAGCAACCAACCTCTTCTTCGATCTTTCTATTTGTTCATGACATAGCGTAGCTCTAACGAAGGTGGCTTGACGAATCTTCTTTATAGATACAGTCTAGCCACAATGGTGTTCTCGGACATTGAGGGGTCCTAAGATCAAAGATATATGGTCAGAATTGTAAAGAGAATTTGACATTCAACAGTTAGCTATAGTAACTGATAGAAGCAGCCACCCAGGAATGATGTCAGTCCAGATTAAGCTTCTGTTCAACTCATTCCGAATGCTTCGATATTGAATTCCTCAAGAAATCTTCCCAATACAGAAGTGCGAGGCAACTCTGGGCCACCGCAGGTAGACTCGGCTCGGCGGTAAACATCCCAAACAGATTGTTGTACTGACAAAACGAGTCTAGGTACCTTTGTTCTCAAATGTCATATTGAAAACTATCCGAGGATTGCTCAGAGTTATCCGCGGGTTCGGTGCGAGCGGGGTGAAGTAAGCATAAGTTAGTGTTGTCCCTGTAGATCAGACCCCGGCGCGGAATACGATAATGGAAATTAAAGAGAACAGCGAGAACCGGAGACCAAGAGCCGGAGCATCCGAATATTACTTAGATAGACAGTTTCGAGCGAACGAGCATCCGATCCTTGCCTAGATAGATTTAATGGACGAAACGAGACCCTGGTCCTCTCCCAAGACCTCTTTTACGTATATATAGACGAAGCGATTCAAAGTAGTTCTTCAAAAATATCGCCTCTTGTCTTTCAAGTTAGGATCTGATCAAAGCCCGCGGTACTGTAGGGCGCTTCAGTATGTTTCAACACTCTACAACCTTGGTGGTTGGCCTTTTGGCACAACTCGCAGCCTGCAAACACGGCCATGTATCAATGGATCACGCTATCTTCGCTCCCAGAGCAGACAATCAAACCTTGGGCTACCGCAATCCTTCTTTGTCAGTCGCAGATAGAGTCGGGGATCTCCTCTCACGGATGACACTGGAAGAAAAGGCCGGTCAAATGTTTCAGGATTCAATAGCGATCGGAACAAACTACACTTTAAGTGAGAAAACACCTCCTGGCTACCCGATCGACCTCAACAGCACGGAGAACATGGTCGGTGAGAAACACATGACACACTTTAATCTTTTGTCGCCAATCGATAACGCGGGAAAGGTCGCCGGATGGTACAACCTACTCCAGCAACGAGCCCTGGACACGAGGCTGGGCATCCCAATCTCTCTCTCGTCTGACCCCCGCCACCACGAAGCCGACACCTTTGGGGCCTCCATCAGCCCTGGAGTCTTCTCACAATGGCCGGAGTCACTTGGTCTGGCGGCCTTGCGTGATCCGGAGCTGGTGGAAACATTTGCTGATATCGCGAGACAAGAATATCTCGCCGTCGGTCTTCGAAGCTCGCTCCATCCTCAGGTTGATCTCGCAACAGAACCCAGATGGGCCCGTATCTTCAGCGTCTGGGGAGAAGAGGCAAACTTGACAGCTGAATTGATTGTTGCCTACATCAAGGGCTTCCAAGGCGAGGAGTTTGGGCCATCCTCGGTCAGTACGGTGACCAAGCATTTCCCCGGGGGTGGTCCAGTCGAGAACGGCGAGGACTCTCACTTTGTCTATGGCAAGAACCAAACCTATCCTGGAAACAACTTTAACTATCACCTAATCCCATTCAAGGCGGCCCTCAAGGCCGGTGCGAGGCAGATGATGCCATATTACTCGCGGCCGATCGGGACAGAGTACGAAGAAGTGGGTTTCGGATTCAACAAGGGGATTATCACGGACCTGTTGCAAAATGAGCTCGGGTTTGAGGGCATCGTGTTGACTGACTGGACTCTCTTGTCGGACAGAATACTGTTCGGCCTTCCGTTTCCCGCTCGTGCGTGGGGGATGGAGGATAAGACGGAGCACGAGAGAGTGCTCAAGATCATCGAAGCCGGGTGCGATCAGCTTGGCGGCGAGAACCGGCCTGAGCTGCTCGTCGACCTGGTGAACCAGGGACTCGTACCAGAAACACGCCTCGATCACTCGGTTCGTAAACTGCTCAAGGAAAAGTTCCTCCTTGGCTTGTTTGACAACCCATTTCTCGACACTGAGGCTGCCGACAAAGTGGTAGGCAGTCCAGAGTTTCAGCGCATCGCCGATGAAACACAGCGCAAGTCTTTTACTCTTTTGTCCAACAAGAATGACGTCCTCCCGATACAGAAAGAAGGCTCTGGTTCAGCTGTCTATATTGAGGGTCTGAACCAGACGACTGTGGAAGCGAGGGGCTTCAAGGTAGTGGCAACCCCCGAGGAGGCCGACTGGGCGTTCCTCCGACTTGCTGCGCCTTTCGAGGTTAGAAATGGGACTCTTTCCGAGTACATGGGCTTCCAGCAAGGTAGTCTTGAATTCAAGGCTGCTGAGAGGACGCGGCAAGCTGCCATTTACGACGCTGTCCCGACTATTGTTGACATCAAGCTCGACCGTCCCGTGGCGATACCAGAAGTTGTCGAGAAGGCCGCAGCTGTATTTGGAACTTTTGGAGCCAGCGGCGACGCGTTCTTAGATATAGTACTAGGTAAAGCCGAGCCTCTTGGGAAACTCCCGTTTGACCTTCCTCGCTCTGACAAGGCGGTTGAGGCACAAAAGGAGGATGTACCTTTTGACACTGAAAACCCTTTATTCAAATTTGGTCACGGCTTGCGATACAGCAAGGCTTGAGTTGTGGCAAATCTTGGAGACTTGAAAAGAAACTACAACTCGTTATCTTAATAAATGAGTTTGATTCTACATTAAACAAAGCTGTAGAGCCATGGCGTTTGAGTATCTTAGATATTCTTGCAGAGTGGCACATGAATAGAGCAGTTTTTAAGTGATTGTATATTTCTCTTCAAGTTTCCGCCCAGAGATCCGTTGATAAGTACTTTAGGCCTGAATCACAAATCATGATGGCAATCGTCTTTCCCTTCATCTCACCCTTGAGCAGCTCAATCGCCGCGCTGACATTCGCGCCACTAGAGAACCCTCCAAAGATGCCCTCCTTGCTCGCTAAGAGACGGGCCCCTTGCCTGGCCTGGTCGCCAGTCACTTGCAGATAGCCGTCTACGGGCACATCCTTGAGGTACACGAGGTCCGGCATCACGTAGCCACCGCCCTGGATGGGATGCTCGGGTCGCGTCACACCCTGCTGGGCCAAAACGGCGGCGCCTTCAGGCTCAACAATGAAGCACTGGGCCGCTGGGTTGACAGCCTTCAACTTCTTTGTCACGCCCGCGTACGTGCCCCCGGACCCGACAAAGTCGACGAAGCCATCGAGGCGGCCGCCCGTCTGCTCCCACAGCTCGGCGCCCGTGCCATCGTGGTGCGCCATCCAGTTGCCGTCGCGCGTGAACTGGTCGGCGCGAAACGCCCCGCGCTCGGCCTCAATCTCCCTGGCCTTTTGCTCGACGAGCGCCAGGTCCGCGCCGGACACCTGGCCGGGAATGGAGCCGGGCATCTGGTCGACGAGAACGACCTCGGCGCCCAGGGCGGACATCATGCGGGCGCGCTCGACCGAGTTGCCCCGCGACATGACGGCGATGAAGGGGTGGCCCTTGACGGCGCACACGATGGAGAGCCCGGTGCCGGTGTTGCCGCTGGTGAGCTCGACGACGGGCTGGCCGGGCCTGAGCGTGCCCGCCTTCTCGGCCTCCTCGATGATGCCGAGCGCGACGCGGTCCTTTTTCGAGCCGCCCGGGTTGAGGTAGTCGAGCTTGGCCAGGATGGTTCCCTCGAGGCCCAGGGAGGAGGTGATGCGGTCGAGACGTACGAGTGGCGTGCGTCCGATGGCATCTGCCGCTGAGTCGAGAAGCTGCAGCATACTGAGACAGTCCTCTTTTCGTTTTGGATCTCGGGGAGGGACGAATATTTGGGTGACGAGCGTCGAGACAATGAGTTCAGTGTGCTTTTTCTTCTTGGTTATCACTCTAACCTGGTCTAGAGAGAAAACTATCTGAAATACATGGCTATTGTTCATCTCAAAGACATACATTCTTGGCACTTAATTCTGGGAACTTAAATCGACGATGAGCAAATCTCCTCCGATAACGGTTTAGAAATGCAAAGAGTGTTGTCAAAAGACATCGGCGCAAGTAGTTCTTTGCTACACGCAAAATCAGTTTTTTCTTAATCATTTTTAAATGGCCATTAAACTCGCCTCCTCTCGAAACCGAAAATGCCATGCATTATTTCTAGATTTAGATAGAAAACAGAGGTTGAAGTTGGGTTTAGGGTAGGCTAAATCGGCTTGGTGATTGAGATCTTATTTTCTATCATTTCTTTTTCCTCTCACTGCTGTTCCCAAGCCATTTATCACCAACTGAAGCAAGAATACAGGTTGCTGGGGCCTTTAATCGCACAGGCGATCAATCAACTGAGGTCACCGCGCTGCTGCAATGCAAGTTGGGGCACATGCCGCCGCCGCAAGACGCGATACTCCCTCAGGCTGATGACGATCAATGCTGCCTGTATTGCCGGCTGAAGCAGACATTTGGTCATGCACCTCCAGCCAACAATCCGTTCCATCGCCATCGCACACATGCCCTCGCATATAGGCTCCCGATCGACTGTCACCTGTCGCCCACTCTAGAGCAGTGAGAAACAATGAAGAGATTTATGTTCGCTTCAAAAAGCATCACGTGATCATACGATAATCTCTCTCCAATCTCAAAGTCGTATTATCCTACCAGGATTCTTTTTGATTAACAGGATATTGTAAAAATATATACAAGCAAGCTGTCGGAAGCCAAATGGTTGAAACACAAAAGAGAAACAATGGTCGCCAGCTCACGCAAAAGAAGCAGAAAGAGAGAAAAAACACCCAGCAAACACTCAGCTCATCTCGTGGCCCTTCCACCCCGCATCAAGCTCGGCATACGGTCTTGCCCGAGCAGCCTCGAGCTCTATATCGTTCATGTCCCTTCGCTTCGACTGGTTCCGGCTGACGGGGCTTACGATGGAGCTCGCGACTGTGGGGTTTATCGTGCTCGCGTCATCGAGCTCCGCGTTCGAGTGCGACTGTACGGGCGAGGCTGACGGGTTCGACTTGGGCGCCGCGTAGGCAAAGCCGGAGGGGCTCTTGACGGGTACGGGCGAGTCCTTTGCGGGCGGGGGTGGCTTGTGTTCGTAGACCATGACGGGCTCACCTCCCAGCTCTCCGATCTGTGTGTTGGGCGGGTATTGTCCCCCACGGCGACGGCGGATGAGGAGGAAGACGGCGAGGATAATGAGGGCCAGGCCTGCGAGGCAGCCGATGACGATACCGGCAATCGCACCGCCGGAAATCGAGTTTGATGTTGATGTTGATGAATCTGCGCTGCTATCGTTTGTGGCGGTCTGTACACAGATTTAGTTAGCAAATGGCATTTTCGTCTATGCCAACGCGGATGCAAACGCGTTCAAATGGATACTTACGGCTATTGCTAACGACGACGACGATGTCGAAGTTGCTGATTCTGAGGAAGATGTCTGAATAGATTATTGGTTAGTCTATGATCCGAACAAAGTAAGGACTTGAAGATGGTAGTTCCATACCAAGGAGGCTAATAAATCCATCGCAAAACCATCAATTGGGTGGGCATAAGCTTGGTCAGCCGAGGACGAAGCGACCCAAGGGAATGTCGCAGTGATCATCGTTGAATTGTAACCAGTAACTGTCGCTGTCTGTCCTACTAGGAAAGGGCTGTAGCAAGTTCCTCCATAGCCTGGCCGATCCGCGTCGACTGTCGTCTCGGGAGGGTGCAGCAGGTAACCACTTGCACAGCAGACGATGTAGGCGTTGTCCCATTGCCTGGCCGTAATCCAACCCTGAGGACATACCAACGGGCTCATCAACGGCGCGATGGAGCTGGACTGGTTGAATGCGCTGGTATATCGCTTGATAAACTGAGACGGGTAGCAGTCGGTCACTTTGGTATTGGATAAGGGCGCTGGTTCGTTGTTCCAGATCTGATATCGTGGGGAGGCCAACATGCTCAGTCGACTTTCGGTACAAGTCGGCGGTGGAACGAAAGTCGTCGTGAGAGGCTCGATAGCCACCGTCACCATGATCACACTTGGCGCTGTTGTGGAGGCAGAGGACTTTGAGTCACCCGTGGCGGACGGATTGTTCTTGTTCGTCGAGGATGCGTAAACCGTCACTGTGGTTTGCGCCAACCCAGGCACCACGCCGGCCATGAGGCCCCAGAGAAGGAGACTGCGCATCGCGACCATACGCACGCTTGACCAGTCTGCTACAACGGAAGACAGTAACACGACCTGGGAGAAAGGTATTGAAGTTTCTCAATGGTGAAGAAACATAAGGTGACCAAGCAAGTGGGCTCGAGAGAGGCAGGAAGAAGAGTAGGGCTCTAGAAGAGGAGAGGGCGAGAACCCATACCCAGAGGATGAATTACCTTGCTCTCGACTGGGATCACCGAAAGCCAATCCTAGAAAGACTCTAGCCACAACCCGGCTGTCGAGGAAGTGGAGTGTGACACAACGTCAAAGGGAATCCACCTGAAACAATACGGACATGGAGGAGCGGTAGTTATTACTTGCTGCCACAGCGAGATCCGTGAGAGTCTGAGGCCAATGCTCCCTATCCTTTATCAAATCAAGTAGAGATTAACAGCACGAAAGAGAGACGGGTATGCCGCCTGAAGAAAGAAGAGCTGTGGCATGGCTCAACAGCCCATCCATTGAAAAATGAGCTTCCTTGACGAAGCTACGTCTCACCGGTGGAGATTCAGGGACTAGCCGAGACGCACCGCCCAAAAGTACACTTTTTGGGGGGCAATTGAGCACGCTTAGGAGCCCAGACACGTGGAGGAGTAAGCAAATGCTACCCTCTGGGTGAACTTGTCCGTTATAGGCTCAATTCCACGCGGACCAAATGCCGAAGGGTAGCTGGCAAGGCTCGTCCCTGAGCCGGTATTACATTGGGAATGTGCACCACATTTAATCTAAGGTGCGGGATCCTCCATCAGGGTAGTCCATGTCACGTCAGTCGTCACTAGCGAGCCCCGAATACCGGATATTGTACTCAGAGCACGATATTTCCGTTCGTAGTTAGTATCAACCTATTCATGCGTTCACCGACTCCCTTGTATCCCGAGTCATGGCCCCTAGCAACATCAGCAATGCTTACACGCGCCGTCATGGACATCACAGGGGTCCATTCGGTTCGTTCACCACTCCTCTCGGTCACTAATCCTCTCGGTGCCGTACCTCAGGAGCGGAGTTATCTGTCAGACGGTGCCAAGGATGCAACCAGACGCAATTAAATCAACCCAAACACGAAGTGCCGGGATTCGCATCCCTCAGGCTTTCTCGCCCCTACCACCTCGTGCGCTTTACCTAATGAGCATTCCTGTTCCTGCTTGCCCCTGGCTTTTTTAAGAGAATGCACATCCGGTAAGATCAATCGTTTATCATCTCCGTCTCCCACACAGAGCCCGAAGTCCCCTCATTAGACGATAGCACATCCCGTACGACGTCCAACAAACTCTATGGGTGGGGAAATAGTAAGGCTTTGGCGCCGCTGGGCAAGACGAGTGCGTGTTTGAATCTGGGGTAAGAATTAATCAGGGTAAATTTAGGAACGCCCTAACGATGATGACGAAGCTGCTGAATCAGCTTGGTTCATGTACCGTTGTCATCCTAATTTCTCTTGGTCAAGGACTCTTGGAGCCGCGTCGTCGTTGAAAAGAGAAGAATGGATGTATTCCTGTTGCCTGATGGAAATTTATGCAACTCATATTTGCATAGTACTCTGACCGAGCACTGCAACAGAAGCAAGCGTGAGTTATCTATAGAAACCGGGAGATAAAATGATCTTTTGGAGAAGTTGTCTGCCGGTGTGTCCGTGCTTTCATAGCCTCCAAACCCATGAACCATGTATCCATCAGCAAGAAAACTTCGCTTATCCTAGCCAGGACTGGAACCTGCTAGCATGCTTCCACTGTATAATGAAGTACGTACATAGTAATTGTAAATGCACAGCCTCGCTTTTCTAGCTGACTCATTGATGAGAGAATGAACGAACGAAATATGAAAGGGGTGGGATTATGATCCGAGAAGCAACGATTGCACAACAAACAAATGTCTACCATTACTGGAGATGATCTGCTCTCCTCATCAACCATCAGATGTTAATTCGGAGATATTTCCCGCTTACTTATCGTGTCTGGGTCCCAATTTGTACTTAACATTCGCTAATCCCTCTTCATTAGATTGATCTGGCGACCACCAGATCACACGTTTCGGCAATGGAGAATAATGGCCGCCTGTAACAGTGCCCAAGGCCAAGGCCAGATTCGGAAGATTCCTATCGATTGCCCAAAGCAAAATTACTTGTATGCCAGCCTTGATAAGGGCTTGGGAGTCGGATCTGCGAGCCAGTAGCAAGACTACTATGGCCTTCAGCTTCCTTTTCCAGTATTCTCTCTCCGCAACATGCCAATACGCTGTCTGCATAATGTGCCAATATGGCGTGGGCCTATGGCATCGCTGCCATATATCCTGATATGCCGTCTCCGCGATATTCGTATAACGTGGCGTGAAAAATCCCTGGTCGCGGGCACGCCATGCGGCAAGAGCCCTTACAACAGGCGTGCAGCCATGTTCGTCTCGCCAGCGTGCATCAGCTCCTGCTTCGACAAGGAGCTGTGTAGTGCTTTCGTGCAGATTCCTTGCAGCGCACGATAGAACATTCTGGCCATCTGGGCGCTGAAAGATCATGGTTCTTTTTTTGATGAGAAATTTCAATATATCGTCAATCCCCATTTCTGCGGCAGCAAGGGGCAGAGCAGTAGGGCGGATCTGAAGACCGATGCTATGACTGTTGGATGTGTCACTGCCTCGGTCCTCACTAAAAGATGGGGAGTCATCAGCGTACTCAATATCTGAGGGAATATCATGGATCAAGCATAGCTCTCTAGCATTGTATAAAGCCGGCAAGCCACTCTGGGGTGCGTCAAGTATGTTTCTGATATAGGCTGCCATCTTCTGCCGCAGCGCTGTTGGCTCATGTGCGGCCCGGGACATGGCATTAAGCAGTTTGGCCATCGAGATGTGATTATTTGAAAGAGCCAGAAATAATAATTCGATTAGGTCTTCCTCTCTTATTCTCATGCCTCTTGCCCACAGTAACACCGCAATGTCTGTGAATCCTTGTCTCGATATCGGAGATAGAAGCTTCCTCAAACAGAGAGAAGAATTCGGTTCATCATATACCGCTAGGGTGGCCAGTCTTTCAAGTATGTCAAACTGACCCTCCGCGATGTGATGTGGCACCTCGAGTAGCGCTGCTAAAACCCCATGGCCAATCGGTAGAATGCTGTCAATCATTGAGTTGACCACGTTGATGAAGCCGTGTTCTGCAGCATGAATGATTGTGCAGCTGTCGCTGATGGTGCCCCCATAACTAGGGGGAGATGAAAGATGCCAACATGAGCTGGTTGTTGAGTCATCTTCAGTAGCCTTGCAGCCCTCCAAGCCTAGTATTGCTCGGGCGTTGTTGTGATCACCTCTCAGCACTGCGTCGTGCAGCACTTTCACGGTCGATTCATGTACGATTTTGCTCAAATTTATGTAGCCTTCCTTTTTCATAGCATGCCGGAAGCTTAAACCTTGCGGATACCGAGCTTCGTATTTCCTGTACACATTGCTCAGAGTAATCCAGTCAGAAAGTTCAAATTCCTCGACAAATCGATCCTGAGAGACTGCAACGGCAGCACAATTTGTATGGTATAGTATCCCAAGACATGCGTATTCTGTCAACGGGAACTTGGATGTGATTTTAGTTCTAAGAGCGTGCCAAGACAGGGGTATCGACTGAGAGGTAAATCGTAGCGGCATACCGTCCGAGAGAGGTGATAAGAGGGCGGATTTGAGGTAGGCATGGCAACATTCTTTAAGCTTCTCATGACTGTAGGCCACTACATAGGCTTTCCCAAGACTTAATAGTTCACCAAGACCACCCCCTTTAAGGAGAAATTCGCGTACTGTCTCGTGGATAAACTGGACCCTCGGTTCGGGTCCTTTAGTCACTTCTGCCAGTCCCTTGGAAGAGCTAAGAACAAACTTTTCCGCAGAGAGGTTGTCAATTGATGAGGTCAGAATCTCGGAATGTTCAATATCCGACAGCCCAAAGAGGATACCGTAGTACAATTCGATTGGCGTCAGGGGTCTTTTTGCAAACAGAATCCACTGTAAGCACAGGACGAGCTCCTGACGATCCATGCCAATACGGAGATACATGTCCCTGAAGATGTTGCCGAGCTTGTCAGGAATAGTTTCCAGCTTCCTTCGCACCGCGAACAAGCGGCCTCGTTGGAACTCTTTGTTGAGAATCTCGACGACCAGTACAACCCACATAAACACCCCGGCCGCCATGTGAAGAACTTTCTCATGAATGTCGTCCGCCTCTGGATTTCTTCCCGTCTGTAAACGACTGCGTATGTATGCATCCAAGTCACTTCTGTGGCCAGCTTGGTCTTCCAATATTATTCTAATGCCGTTTCTGACTTCAATATAGGGATAATGGCGACTGGAGAAACATATCCTGAAGTTTTGGCCATCTTCGGTGGCTTTTTGGCAAAGGTCCTCAAACTGCTCTACCATGTCTCGGGCCTGATACTCGTCGCATTCATCGAGAGCGTCTACATAGCAAATCACCGAGCGCTGCCCGAGAAGAGGCATCGCATTCCTGAAAAGCTCTTGGAGGACGTCGAGAGCGGGGCAGCCCTTTTGGCTTAGCGGAATCAGATTTGAGTCGTCAAGAATTGACTGAAGATCTGGGAACCTCTCGAGAAGTTGGAAGAGGATGGATCTGTACATCCCAATAGTGGTTTTCTCCACTTCCTTGCCACGCGCGTTGAAGAAGAAAGAGATCACACATGTGTTAATCTCGGCGTTTTTCTTTTCTTGAGAAGACAGGAACTTCATCATGGTAGATTTGCCGCTTCCAGGCTTTCCGTTAATCCACAGGAAGCCGTGATGATCACCAAGCCTCTCAGCGTCAGTCCAGGTAAAGTACGATTCATGCTGAGGCAGCCACTTGCAGGTTACTGGGTGGGCGGATTTGATGTTGGACTGGCGCCAGTACATTTCGTTGAATTGTAACGAGTCCATCAACTCACGCCTGCGTTTGGCCCTTTCCGCTGCCGCAACTGTCACAAAATCAGCACCAATACCGGTTGTTAAGGGCCTTGGGCGATAACTCACGTTGAATCAACACTTTAGAGGCGTCTGTTTGCTGGATCGCCGGCCGTGGGGCAGTCATCGCCATCATTTTAAGAATCTCCTTTGCATACGCCGCCGCATTAGCTGCCGCGTATTTCTGCCAGATCTTGTTCTTGTGCGAATCGCAATAGTCACAGATGCCTCGTATGACAAGACATGGGAAGTGATCCATCAATCCGGCGGCTTCCATCTCGAAACAGATGGTTTTGAGTTCCTGTGCGATCTGGTCTCTGCTTACTCCATCCTTGATAACCTGGTTTCCCGAGGCAATGGCTCCATAATGAATCTCGGGCGTCGTATTCAATCGTTCACATCGCTTTATAAGCTGTGTTTTATCACACTGGTCGCAGGCACTTAATTTCGAGTTGTGGTTGTATTCTGCAGAGAAAAGCATGTCTGTTGCGTCTTGGGGATAAGAATACCTGGCCATGCCCGTATTTCTTTGAACCATATCCTGCACAAGAGAGGGAACTGAGGTGGGCGTAGACTCGTGAATTGCCCGTAGCTTGGAGATAGTTGAGGAGAGTTCCGGGCGTAGATTGCTCAGGACGACTGTCCGCTCAAACTTGCCGCTGTAAGTGATCTTTCCTAAATCATACTGCATGATTCTCCGACCAACGACAATATCTCCAAGCCGTATATCAAATTCGTCTGAAGGTGCACCTCCTCCAATACCTACCATAAGCCGGACTTTGATCAACGGGAAACTTCTACTCATGTGTGTTGCCACATGGGCTGCATTGTTGGTGCCATATTCTCCTAAGCAGGCAATCACGATGTTGTGAAGTCCGATGCTGCCCATAATGTAGGCATTGCTGTCATGAGGGTCTATGGGTAGATCGTCATGTATCTTGTCCAACATGCCTCGAGCGGCAGCCATCTCGATAGGAAGAGCACAGACCCAACCGACAGTGTAATCTGTGTTGCAAAGCCTCAGTGGACCCTCCACAGGGGACAGATAATTTTCCATAGGTTAGGCTGTGCCCCGGAAGGCTCTGTTGCCCAGGAAAGGGACTCTGCGTGAGCAGATAGAAGAAGGAATGAAGGAGGGGAAAGTCGCACAGCTTGTATCATCCCGAGCGAATTGCTGACAGCGCATCGCATCATGTGGACAATAATCAGCCTCAAAGATGCAGCTGCACCGCCACTTATATGATTGATTAAACTGACGTGTCTGCTGCGCGCGTCTTTTTCCTCTGTCATTTTCCATAGTTGCAACAATATACGTGAAACCAGCGGATCTACATCAACCCATGTATGTCTAATTGTCCTACCACTCGATGTTCGACTTTGCCAAAACATTTGAATAATAGAACTCGGGTAATTTGATAGGCCGTTTCTGAGTAGCTTCAAACGCAAGGCGTTCGTCATATTCTACCTAGGGACGTTGGGTTATCCTCTGAAACACCTACAAATGTAGGCTATTGGTGAGTGGCAACTGCTTATCCAAGAGTACATTCCTACAAGTTGCGAGTCAAAAAAAGTATTCGAAGAGGGAATTTAAACTGCTGGATATATTTCCTCTCTTATCTCAGACATAATAGGAAAACCCCAAGGTAGCAAATCAATCAGAGAGGGGAGGGTGCCAACGAACTGGATCATCACGAACTCCTTCCTCCCGCGTTGAACGCACACCTAAAGAGCAGATCGACAGCTACTGCGCTCATAGTCTTCTTCCCTTAGTTCATGAAGAATATCACGAGCATTCAAAAAGCCTTGCTCAAGAGCACCATCAATAAACGCACGCCATCCATGTGCCCAGTCTGCCGAAGCGAAGAACGTGTTACCATGACGGCTTTGTAGCTCATCCTGATACTTGGTCATAAATCCAGGCGGCCAGAAACATGGGCCTGCCTGCGAGTAAGGGTCGTTGTTCCAGTTGTGGAAAACCTGAACGTGTTAGCGCTGAGAGCTATAGTTTGTGTGGAATTAATTAGAGGCTTACCAGCTTCTTCACGTCCATGGAATGAAGATTATGAAATGCCTGGACAATCTTGCGAGGATCACTCTCGGGAACAAAGTGATGTCGCTCGTCGGTACCAAAAGCTACGACGTGGGCGTCCCCGTTGGGTAGAACCCCGTCGCCATACGCGTAGAGAAGAACATTAGGATAGCATGCGCCATTCCAGGAAGCCATACCGGATCCCTCTACAACGGCGTGGATTTTGCTCATATAGTTAATATGACCCGCCGTAATAGCCTCTTGCCGAAGGGACGACAGAGGTGGGTTGAACTCAATGGACTTCAGAGTATTGAGTGGCGCGGTGCAAATCAGCTTCCTTCCCGTATAATGCCGTCCATCTCGTGTCACAGCTCGAACGAAAGTGCTAGGCAGTTGCTCGACGGCACCAACATGGCTGTCAAAGCTATACTCGAGTCCGCATTCCACAGCATCATCAAAGATTTTCCGAGCAAGACCTGACTGGCCCTCTCGTAGCTTATACATGAACCACACATCCTCGAAGTCGGAGAATGCGTGGTTGCACAAGGCATGTCCTCGGATCATGTCCCAGAGACTCGAGTTCCTCAGATTACCTTCGCCACCGGATATATGGAGCAGAAGTGAAAGCAAGAGTCCTGACTCTTCGACCGAAAGAAGATGTTTGATCTCTTGGAAGCGATCCCAACACGAGTAAGCATCCCACTTTTCGACCTCTTTGCGATCCACTCGTATATTGTCGAGTTGTGCATGAGGGAGTGGACAGATCTTACGACCTCCCGCGCCATCGATATCGACGAAAAGGTTCCAGCCTCGGGCGGAAATCTCTCCAGCTTCTTCGTGTGAAACTTTACGCGTTGGAAGTCCTGTGTCGATATCGGTGTTAGTTTATTATTTGAAGGCTTGTATAGTCACCGAAAGAGAACGTTACCGGGAACTTTAAAGGTATAGTAATCATTTTCGTAGCCATGTTGGCGTGTAGTAATCAAGTCACGATCCATCTTGTAGCGGAGTAGCTCGCGGAAGGTATGAGGTTGGCAATGAGAAACCCAGGTGCCACCCATTTCGTAGCCGAAGCCTGTTAGTCGTTAGCATCAAAGAGAATGAGTGATAAGGTATATGGGGGTCAACTACCATCTTCTTTAATTGTGAACGTGCGGCCACCGATTCGATCGCGTCCCTCAATAAGTATAACCGAACGGCCTATATTTTATTTACTATTAGAAGCAAGTCTCACTGCCATTCAACAAAGTTGTTTGTGATTACCTGCGTTTGTGAGGTCTCGCGCTGCGGACAGGCCAGCATAGCCACCACCTAGAATGACAACATCATATACAAAGTCCGAAGGGGACTTGACATTATGGATGGGAGACACAACTCCCACGCAGGCGAATTGGCCCTTCTTCATGCCTCCCTGCGGAGTCCAGGCGTATCCATCTCTGGTGTGAGCCGGCATAGTCAAGGGTGACAAGTGGCTAACAAAAGGCAACATGCAACAAAGGTGAGGAGTTTGGCAAAGAAAAGATAATCTCATCGATTAGGAAACGATTTCATTGACGAGTTTCTTAAGTTTAAATACACAAATGCCTCACTGAATGAGTGAGGGTCCTTGAATCCTGATCAGCCCAATGCTTCTAAGCATAGAACGATTCGACGTGTATCAAAAGGACCTTTCCAAATTCAGTAGAAATCGGTAATAGAGGCTAAGGGGCAGTAAACCTCGGAATGTACACACGACTTAGGTTTCAACCGCTTGCTCTTACTGATTGGAACGATAACCGGTCACAAGCCCCTCAGAATGAGCACAAGTCTGGATGCTCAAGCGTCGATTTGCAAAGTAACCTGAGGTTACATTTACCCACCTCAAGTCAAGTATACCTAAGACCTGCGCCAAAATAAAACCAGATTAGGAACAGTGCATACTGTGACATTGGCCGGATTAGCCAGTGATAGTGATGTTAGTATTGAGTTGATGGACGAGCTGTACAATCTAACAGACAAGGGGATTGAACCTTGTTCCGGAATTGAAGTATACTACTACCATTGCCGCTAAAGGCCATTCGGGCCGTACAGTATACAATAGACTTGTGTTTGAAACAACCCTTATCTGTATCAACCCTGTCCATGATACTACCTCAAGCGCCAATTTCAAGTGGCTAAGTCGTGAGTTACGTCATGGCACACTTTGACTTTGAGACGGCTGATTAGAATGACATGTTTTGTAGTTGTCCGTATCTGCAAGGCCAGCATTAGCGAAATCCCTGTTTTAGATCGAGCGAGATGCGAGGGGCAAAGTGCGGGGTGCGATATGGCTATACCTCGTTTGGTTTTAGATACGCGCCTTTGGCCATTATATTGATAGTATTGCGTTTTGGGCAAGTTTCGCGCCGGTTAAATGCATCTATCTACGACCACTCGAAAGATATGGAAGCAATATGGATCTAAAGCTCGGATAATCTTCCGTATGTGTCCCGCTTCATTTAGAACAGGACAGAGGTGCGTCCAGTGATATCGATGTGTAGGAGTATTCCAATTGGCGAAATCTTGCACTACTCAAATAGGGATTATAATCCCTTCGTCAGTCTACGACTTCATCTTGAAAGATCTAGACCATGCCTGGAGATAGAAATCTGAAAGTCGAAACTCGATCATCCTCATAATGGTTGTACAGAGAGAGCATAGTTATGACTGCTTTCAAGAAATTTGTTCATTAGTCGCCTCCTTCACTCCAAAAATTTCTTCGATCTTTACGCCGATCATTATCATTATCACTGCTTTTCTCTCTGTCTCGTATGCTACCACGCAGTATAGGAAGAGATCTGGGAAGAACAATCTAGAGACACCACCAAACGGAGTTTCTCTATTTGACGAAACCCCCAAAGATCGTTCACCTGGAGTATGGAATCCCTCATCCTTCAGATGGCCTAAGCCAGCACCATTCGCGGACTGGTCCATCGAGACAACCAAGCCCCTTCCGTATCGCCCCTTCAAATATGGACCTAAATACTTTGTGACCATGGGAATCCGCAATACAAACTATGATGAATGGATTGAGATGGACAACGAGTTTCCACGGTTCTATCGCGAGAAAGCAGTACGCATCAGTGAGCGCGGGCAAAAGTGCTGCCGTACCTTACCAGAAGCCTTCCCAGCCGCTGTCGAGCTGCTTGAGGAACTTGTCGAATACTTGCCTTCTCGCTATCCCAGTCTCTACGAACGTGTAGATAAGGGCATCAAGAACCTATGGTCGGGTGAGGTGATTGATAACACTTCGCAACCGCTTCCTGAAGACCCGATGCAGAGTGTTGGTCGACTTACGCAGGATGATATGGCCATCCTAATCGAGAGACCCGATGGAGATTACTATCTGCTGGCTGGGGCTATTCTTCTTGCTGGTTTCTGGCGTCTCGAGGACAAGTTGGGAATGCCGCTCTGGGAAATTCATACATCTGCCGGTGTACCACACTACAGAGAAAAGCTTGAAAAGAGTATGTACAAATTCTTTAGGCGTCTCAAGGCCGAAGATTTCGTTACTCGCAACAACTATACCCTGCAGATTGACGATAATCTCCCGTGGTCGGTATCAGTTGGTGATGAAGATAGTAATGACCTTGGTTGGCATCACGCCGAGCAGGATCCTCCGATCGGCAAGCATCATCTCCGCTCAGAGCGTCAGTCACTGCGGCGCCTACCAAAGAGCGGGGCAATTGTCTTCGGTATTCATACCTACTTTTCTCCAATCACTGAGCTGGCTAAGGAGGATTACGTTCCTGGCAGATTGGCGAGCGCTATCCGGAGTTGGGACGAAACCATCAGCTCGTACAAGGGCACATACACCTACGAGAAAGTCCTACTCAAGTACTTGGACGAAAAGCATCGGGAGCAGATTCAGCGAGGTTTGAAATTGGAAGAAGAAGACCAAAGGAGGCGTTACCCGTGGTGAAATATTTGTTTTAAGATTGAGACAGAGAATCACCGATATATGAAGGTTGAATGTTAGAAATTCTTTTTTCTTTCTTAGGCAAGAAGGTACTATACCAGACTACTTGAAATCCAGCTCAACCTTGAAGCAGCTATGGTCTCATTTAAAGACAGTTATCAGCCTGGCTATAATAGCAATAAGATTTCCTGTTGGATATAAGAAATGGGAACCGTATTAAGCCACGGAATAATACCAATCATTTCTTCCTACATTATTAAAAAGGGACAAAGAGTTATCTGCTCGACTTTGATCAACCAGGCTGCCTGCATTGGCGTGAAATCATATGAAACAACGATTGCATCTCACCATCCCAGCCGTTCATAATTAAATGTAGGCAGTCTTACTCTCTATACTCTCGAATAACACAGATACAACGTTGCGTCTGTTCAATCAAAGTTTAAGGCCTTATCGAATGGTGTCATACCTGTTGCATTATGTTTCTGACCTCACCCTATCATGTCATTTTAGGCTATATCAATAACTTTACGTCCGTCCTTCAACTGTCCTATCGGGATTGGCATGGTGATAACTCGGAGCGGTCGGATTGTTTGGGAGGTTAGTATAGCCGCCGCAGATAGATTCCCAGTAGCTGCTCAAGACTGGCTGTGTCCTGTATGATGTGAGCAATCTCCAAGTAGATAATCTGTCCCTTCCAGGGCACATGATATCCTGGGAGTGGAGTCACAAGGCTATAGGAAGCGCTTATCATCAAGGGTGGCTGAGTGTGCTTGCTGTAGAGCCCAAAAGAGTAACAGTCGCGCGAGATTTAAGGTAGAAACCGATTAAGTTCGTAGTTATGTATGCAACTAGTTGATATTGGGCTCCGGGTTCTTGCCACTAGCATGGAGTAAAATTACGTACAAAATTCTTCCCCGCAATTTGATATCTGTGGGGTAACCAAGGTACTGTTTGATGATGGCGTGTACTGTAATGGTGAACTGAATCATGGGACTTGTTATCTATATACCACTTATTGGGTTTAATGTATCTCTCCGAAGCGGCAGTATACTCTTTAGTCACTTATCATCCAGTTGCTTGCCAAGGCCACCATGAGCTATCAACGAAATTCACCATGGTCTATATAACTGCTATATTCTCCCGTATCTAGCAGCGTATTTTATCCTCATCACTTTCAAGACATATTCCAAACTTGGCTTGAGAAATCTCAATATCAAACACATCCATCATGGCTAAAGAGAAGAAAGATCAAAATCTAGGCATTCATCCCGTACAGTCGAATAATGTATCCATTGCTAAGGGTGTCATTGTTGATGCGGACGAAGCACGGTTGAGAGATATTGGTTATAAGCAGGTGAGCTACAAGCGGACATCCAAGAACAAGAAACATGAGATTGTGGATTAATGCTTGCTTCTTACTAGGAATTCACGCGTGAATTTACGAGATGGTCTACGGTTTCCTATGCTATTGCAGTACAGGGAGTGTTGGGGTCGGGTCCGTGGTGTTCCCATGTCCAACCCGGCTTGTTGCTAATCCTGCCTAGTATCTGCGACTTGGTCGTCGCCTCTCGCGTCAGGCGGCCCGGCAACAGCAATCTGGGCTTGGTTCTCAGGTGCTCTCTTAGCATTTTGTATTGGTTTATCTGGTTAGGTTTTCGGCTATTGTGGTAACATGAGCGGCGCTGACTTGGTCTCATAGTGGCTGAGCTTATTAGCTCCTACCCAACCGCGGGTGGCATGTATTTCGTTACAAAACACATCTTTCCCCCTGATAAGGTGCCGATGGCAGCATGGCTTGTTGGATGGACTAATTTTCTTGGACAGTAAGTTAGCTACCAACGTGATTGAGTATTGGGTGAGAGGGGTTTAGCTAACAATGTTACTCCAGAACTGCCGGTGTGGGTAAGTCTGAGATCGCTACACCTATGTACTATAACATACCTCGTGACTAATGATTCCATGAAGCAAGTGTCGGGTATTCTGTATCGCAGATGGTATATTTCCCGAAACCGTTTGACCCAGCTCCAGCTAATGATTGCAGTTGCTCGCCCTAGTTGCCATGGGTATGGCTGATGAAGATGGAACCTTGACTTATATTCCGTACGTCGGCCTCATCTGGAAGCTCATCCACTCAGTGCTAACTCTCACAGAACTGCCGCGCATACCGTTGCCATCGCGATAGCCGTTCTCATGGTTCAAGGAGTGTATTGTTCTCTCGATTCAAAGACGTTGTCTAAAACAATCGCGTGGTTCGCTCCCATAAATCGTAATTGGACCATTGGCCTATTTTCCGAATGCACCCAGCTAATCATATGCCAACAGTTGTTGCAGCGGTTGCCATCTCTATTACGATCCTCATACTTACTGAAGATAAACTCCCCGCATCCGAGGTCTTCGGCAAGGTAATCGACGGCTCTGGCTGGAACAGTACCGGCTTCTCATATCTCATCGGCTACTTGTCCATTGCTTGGTCGTTCACTGATTACGATGCTACTGTACGTCTATGTATCATGTTTTTACAATCTGACCTTAAGCTTATCTGCCCTGCTTAGGCGCATCTCAGCGAAGAGCTACATAACGCGGCCATTAGTGGCCCCGTTGCCATTGCTCAATCCCTAGTCATTACATGGGTAAGTGGCATTGATAGAAAGGCGTTGGGAGGAAGCCATCAAAAGTCTAACGGGTGTAGGTCTTTGGGCTGTTGCTAAACATTTCTTACGGCTTCTGTGCCACTGATCGTGAAGCACTCCTTAGCTCACCGCTAGGCAACCCAGCCACACAGATATTTCTCAATGCCGCCGGTAGAAGAGGTGGCATCGCACTCTGGTTTTGGGTTGTCCTAGTTCAAATATTCACTGGTGCTACTGCGATGCTGTCTGACACACGTACAGCCTTTGCATTGGCTCGCGACGACTTGTTCCCTGGTTCTAAGATGCTACGCAAGATGAACCACAACACGAACACTCCATTGTATAGTGTTTGGTTCGTCGTCATTATCTGCTGCTTGCTCAACTTGATCGCCTTAGGGAGCGCGCAAACCATCAACGGTATCTTCGGAATTACAGCTCCAGCTTGCGACTTGTCTTACATCGCCGTCATCGCCGGTAGGTTGTATTACGATCGCGAACGGCCTATTGCCAAGGGACCTTTCTCGCTCGGAAAGTTCCAGAAGCCAATCAACTACATTGCATGCATCTGGACCGTGTTTCTTACCGTCGTTCTTTTCTTCCCGCCAACTTATCCCGTGACAGCCGAAAACATGAACTATGCTGTGGCTATTAGTGTTGCTATTTTTCTGTTTGCAACGGCTTGGTGGTTTCTGGGTGCAAATAAGTCCGTGCTTGCTCTTTATACATGTCATAGACTCAAGGCTGACTCTGGTATAGGCGATACATTGGTCCGCGGAACGACGAGCACATGGATGACGAGGATTTGCGGGGCAGGCCTGCGCCCGCTTGAATTATCAGTATTAAAGCAAACTGTACCAAGATCTAAACTCAACGGAGTTCCTGTAGCTGAGTGCTATCTATCACGCCCAATTTTTCGGTAGCCAGTCCAGCATCTATTCACAGCTAGCACTAAAATTGAAACTTAGTCTGAAATTATGGCCATTTTCTAAGGCTTGTTGGCGGAGGTCCTCATAATGCTCTACCATGTCTGGGGCTTGGCCTTCGTCGCAATCATCAAGATCCTACAAGTTGTTATCCAAAAAAGCACTTGGAAAACTAGACTCCGAGCTCGTAAATATGCTTCCCTTCTACCTCAAACATAATAGAAAAAGCCAGGGGAGCAGATAAATCAGAGCAGTCGAAGAAAACAAGGCCAGTTTTAGACTTAGATGCGCATTGTCGTTGACAATTGTGAAATTTAGACCATTACATGATAAATAACTCATTTCTATGTAGCAGCAATTTATGTAGTACTCGGGCAGATCCCGGAAGACAATATCTCTCCGATCAATTCCCCGCACGCTCATAAACATGGAGTGCCAACATGCTGGATCATCACGAACTCCCTACATCCCGGGTTTAACGCACACCGCCTTGGAAGGTTAGATGTTTTCCCATTTCATCCGTACTTAGTTGCTGATTATCTCCATAATGCCTCCACAGTTCCAGAGATCAGGAAAATAAAAACACCGACCTCGGTTACCATTACCCCGACAGCTGCCAGAGCGAGATGTTTAATAACCAGCATCGGGTATATCTTAAAGAGACTATGCAGCTAACCCCTTCGATTAGATGCACGATTATCACACATTCAAAATCACATTTGCATGGCCGATAAAGATGCACATCTGGACGTTGATACTTTTCGCTCCTATCTTAGCGAGCGCCGCAATTGATCGGTACGTAGATCTAGAAACCCCCATTCCTCAATTTGGTATAACAAAGCTAAATGCATACAAGACGAGCTATCGTAGAGCGATACAACGTCATTAGAACCCATGTTCCGGAGACAATTACCAACGAGACAACTCCGCTCCAAGTGGGAAATGGAGACTTCGCCTTCAATGTCGATAACACTGGTATGCAGACACTCGTGCCCTTTAATGTGCTGTCTAGCTGGGCCTGGCATAAGGATAGGCTCCCTGAAAACGGGTAGGAATCTCTCTCGGACACCTTCGACTTTGATCTTTGTTTACTGATAGGTGATACTATAGCGAGCGCCCTGAAGACTATGCAGGTACCCCGGTCATTACGCATGGTAGAGAGATCGTGTACGACCTACCTGATCCCGACCACCCCGAAATATCCAACTGGCTCAGTGCCAACCCCAACCGTATCAATCTAGGACGGATGAGTCTGAAATATAGAAATGAAACTTTATCGATCATCGACGATCCATATCAGCATCTTGACCTATGGAGTGGGGTTATCACATCAACATTTTCAATTGATGGCCAAGGAGTCAACGTTACTACCCAAGGAGACTTTGACTCGGATTCTGTTGTTCTCAAGATTGAGTCAGATTTAGTCAGTATAGGAGAATTACAGGTTGAGTTTGATTTCCCATACCCGCCAATTCACAGAGTCACGGGAACCTTTGACCATGAAGTGTTCATGGGCTCATATGAGTTTCCTCAAAACCACACCACCAGGTTAATAAATTGTCAAAGCGAGAAGGACGCTGCTCATATCCGACATCAGTTAGATGAGACCAGTTATTTTTTGAACTTACGCTGGCCAGCAGAAGTTCCGCTTTCTCTTGTTCGAAACGAGCCCAAGGGATCAGACAAAGTATCTGCTCATCGGTTCACCCTGTCACCATCGGCCGGTGACAGCAAGGTCATGAGCTTCACAGCTCAGTACAGTCCCAAAATAAACACTCCCGCTCAGCCGAATGAGATCCGCCTGCGAAACACCCAGGGGTGGCAGCAATACTGGCAAGAAGGCGGATTTGTCGATCTCACAAAATCGAGCAACCCCAATGCAACTGAGCTCCAGCGTCGCATCATTCTATCTCAGTATGCCATGAGGGTAAACAGTGCTGCCACCGGGCAGCCTCCCCAGGAGAGTGGGCTGGTGTTCAATGGCTGGTGGGGAAAATTTCACCTGGAAATGGTCGTCTGGCATTGCGCGCATTGGGTAACTTGGGGGCGACAAAAGTATTTCGACAAGATCTTCCCTGCAGTTTACGAGAGCTTGCTGCCCAGCTCTGAGGACAGAGCTAAGCGAATGGGCTGGGCTGGCGCCAGGTGAGCAACGCACAACTCAGCACTATCCCTCAAACTGAACCATGTCTGACATTCATTTCCCTCGGCCAGGTGGCCGAAAATGACTGAGCTTGTTGAGATGGGTATAGGACCGGGTGAGACCCGGGCTTTTCTTCAATGGCAACAACCGCACCCGGTATATCTAGCCCATCTCGCTTACAGAGCCGACCCATCCGAGACTACGCTGAAGAAATGGGATCGTGTCTTGACGGCAACAGCTGATTACATGGCTTCGTTTGCATGGTTCAATAATGCAACGGGGAAATATGACATCGGGCCACCGATCCAGGGGGTGACAGAAAACTCTGCTCCAACCGAAATATCAAATTTGGCCTACGAGCTTGCGTATTGGCGGTGGGCGTTGGATGCGGCATGCGAGTGGACTCAGAAACTAGGGAGAGATTGCCCTGATCAGTGGACCACCGTGGCTGAGAATCTATCACCTCCGCCTCAGTTCGACGGCCTATACGCTCCCTGGGTTGGTAATGGCTTGAATTCGTCGTGGTGGAACGATCCGGCTTTGAACAAGGATCCTCGCAGTGTGATTATGCTTCAGGGCATCCTCCCAGATACTCCTGTGGTAAGAAACTTCCCTTCTGCAGTTTTTTCAAGTGCCACAGGAATATCTCTTAACCTCCTATCCTCATATGTAGGTCGACTCGGAAGTCGGGCGAAAAACAGCCGACAAAGTGTGGGATATATGGGCAGATGCTGCCATTCGAGGCTGGGGGCGTAATATTTTAGCAATCAACTCGGCACGGATAGGTAACCCAGAACGGGCTATCTATCATCTCACTAATTTCGATTACTGGAAATTTGGTGACGAAGGCTTCGCACATCGCTCCGGACCGAGTAAGCAACCGCTTGGCCACTACTCTCATTTCAGGTTTTGACGCTGGCTAACTAATACCCCAGATCCTTCCCCGCCACCTTATTTTCCTGGGAATGGAGGTTTTCTTCTGGCCATAGGCTACATGGCAGCTGGTTGGACTGGGTCAGAAGGACATGCACCCGGGTTTCCGAAAAATGGATCATGGGTTGTCGAGCATGAAGGAATGTTTCCATCGTTATAGCTACATCTCTAGTCAGCAGCATTATAAAGTTTACAGGTATACTCATGTCTGGTTTACCTCTAACATGGCCTCTAGAAAGCGCTCAGAAGCATGGCGATCGGCTTGTGAAGGGAACTTCGCTGAAAAGTCTACGCTTATTTTCCCCATGTTCTATCTATATTCGGGCGATGAAAAGTTATACTCTTCAATGAAGCAATCGACAAGTGCATCCATAGACAGCTTTACAAGCCAAGTCCTCGATACTGCGAACATTAAGATGAGACATAGTGCTGAGTAAGTTCTCCCCTGACAAGATTGCCACCGCGAAGCGAAATTGAGTAAGACGACCGCCAACAGGTTATTCGCTGGTTGGGCAGATCCCTGTTCAGCAGAAAGACTAATGGCGCAAAATCTCTCCGAAAAGAGATATTGGAAACCCGGCTGTCCATCTACAGAACAGCCCAGGCCCAATTCCACAAGCTAAGCAAAGCCACAATAACTACTCCGTAGTTACCAATTTTCTCAGTATTTGCAATCAGCTCTTCCTCTCGCCTCTATCTGCCGGTTTCTAGGAAACACATTGGCGATGCAAATTTCTTCATGTATATTTCTAAAGACTGAGTTATCTAAATACCAGTACCAAAAATAGAAAACTGGGAATTACCCATTCAATAATGAAAATAATGAAACCCTCACAGCGCCCTCAACCCTCTCACATAGTTATCACACATTCCAGGGCATTCGGCAATCCACTCGCTACCATAAATTTATCAATAGAGAAAATCGTTCTGGGTCGGGCAATTGTGCAGAGACTACATACGAAACTGTCATATCGAGTCTGTGTCTGGTAATGCTGCTTTTGGTTCACACTTACATTGTTTTGTAAGTAAGGCATGAAGCTGGTGGTTATTTCCTTCGATTAAAATGACCACTTAGGCACATTACCTTGGGCGAACAAGTGTCACTTTCTTCAAGAACCTCCGACGGTATCCCAGGCCTAATCAGTTAAACTGTCTCTCTTGTGGCTGTACTTTTATTCTTTCTTGCTTTCTTGCTTTCTGTCTCTCCTTCTTCGTAGGTTTTTAAAGTCTTATCAAAGTACCTTGCCTAACCTTGAAAAGAAATTCAGAAATTAGGATATGTAGGAATGTTTTGTTTATGGGGATGCGCCATGAAAAGCAATATCAAGCTCAGATAAATAGAAACATTACTATCCCGAGTCTGAACATTTGATATTTCTGGGTTTGTATCTCCTGAGTTAGGTATGTGTGTGCATTCGTTGTTGGAACTAAATAAAATTGTGAGCAGTGATTGCATGAGAAATATTTTGACAAGTTTCTCATGCCATATCTTAGACTTCCATTGTTAGCAGCGCCATTTGTGTTGAGAAATTGGAACCTTCTTAATGGTCGTTGACCTGATCCGATCCACGATGGATATAGGGTAGCTGAATATAGTTGCGGTTCGGCATAATATCTTAGCCGAATCCAGCGCGCGACTCTGACTCGGGAATAATGACATCGACGATAATGATGATCGTTCCCAGTTGGTTCTTCTGGGGTTTGCGGAGGTTGGACTGGGAGGGCGGGCCATTCTCGGTCTCTTTACCCAACTTCGTCCTTCAACTGTGCACACGGGATCAGGAGCCTACAGTGCGAATAAAGCTTGAGGGACACAGAAGTGTGTGGAACTTGCAGCCTCGTAATACAGTGTTAGTAAACGGTGCACGCTCTCATACCATGTCGACCGAATGACCGAATGGAACGTCCCCCACACCGCCCATCTGTTAAGTAGCGAATCGGCATTGTAACTCCGTCACTCCTTCACCCACGTTCGGTATATCGTAGCTGATCTACCTAGAAACGATAAGACAATGGGTTTTCCAGAGATCAGTCAGCCAAGTGTGAGAAGCGGTTCGGCAATATATCATCACGACACAGCGCCATGGGTGGCAAAGCTTCATTCTCTTCCTACTTCGGCGGATTCCCTTGTTCATTGAACCATCTACTCTTCTTGTTGTTATGCATGAGTACGTCCAATGAACCCGCGCATTCACTAATTCATTAGAGCTCTGCTGGACACGCAGAATATTAAACCATGTCATCCACACCGGACCTGACCAAAGCCCATCCTACTGGCAAAACCATCGATGACATTCCTCATGGGAATGAAGATCCTGTCGTTGGAGATGATTCGCTCCACCAGCGAGCCGGGGCGATGGATCCCGAGCATCGAGCTCGTGTTGAGAAGAGCTTGAAAAGAAAACTTGATACTCGTTGCTCCCTATTCGTTCTGATATATATTATGAACTATCTCGACAGGAACAATATCGCAGCAGCACGTCTCAAGGGTCTTCAAGATGACCTCAATATGGATTACCCCCAATATGCCACATGCCTCAGCATTTTATACGTCGGGTACATTCTTATGCAGGTCTGTTTGCATTCTACCATGAGGGCCATGTGAATTTGCCTGACACACCAGCAGGTTCCAAGTAATATCTTTATCAACCGAATTGAACGCCCAAGTCTATACATCGCGGCTGCGATGCTTCTCTGGGGCCTAATATCGGCTTTATCTGGATGTGTACAGAATTTCGGGGGCATGGTTGCAGTGCGCTTCTTCCTGGGCTTCATCGAAGCGGCTTTTCTTCCTGGAGCTCTGCTGATTCTTTCAAAATGGTATACCCGCCGCGAGCTTACCAAGAGAAATGCAATCCTGTTCTGTGGCAACCTCATTTCCAATGCGTTCTCTGCTCTTGTAGGAGCCGGCGTCTTGTCAAACATGCAAGGGACCCTCGGTCATGCGGCCTGGCGCTGGCTCTTTTGGATCGAAGGTGCTGTTACTATGGCGATTGCTATATCTGCCGCCTTCATTTTGCCGGACCTGCCGCATAATGCTCGCGGATTCACAGAGGAGGAGCGCCATATTGCCCAGCTACGAATGGCCGAAGACGTGGGTGAGGCTGATGCTGATTCCTCAGAGCAGGGTGTCTTTGATGGGCTTATCATGGCCGTGAAGGACTACAAGATCTATCTCATGATGTTGACATTTACTGCATACGTTATCGGATTGTCTTTCAACGCATTCTTTGTAAGTGTCGGGAGGAGCAATGCGTGCGGTACTTGGACTAACTCGATCTCCAAACGCAGCCGTCACTTACCCAGACACTGGGATTTGGCTATGTCCCAACACTTCTTATGAGTTCACCACCCTGGGTTTTCTCATGCATTGTCTCGATCATAGTCTCCTGGAGCTCGGACAGAAGGCAAGAAAAGGTTTGCGGTCCTCATTTTCGTTTGAGAGATTCAGCGTACTGATATGGGAAGGTAGTTCTGGCACATTGTTACACCAATCTTGGTTGGGATCATTGGATTCATCATCAGCATGTCTACGTTGAACGTTGCAGCAAGATATCTGGCCCTCTTTCTGCAAGCGCAGTCATATGCCGGGTTTATTGTCTTTTATTCTTGGATCAGCTCTTCCTTCCCCAGGCCTCCTGCTAAACGAGCCGTCGCTATCGCGATGATCAATGCCTTCAGCCAGCTTGGAAATGTTGCGGGCTCCTATGTGTGGGACTTGAAAGAGAATGGATACAGGAAAAGCTATGGTATAGTTTTGTCCATGTTCGGCCTGACTATCATCGGGTGTTTTGCCTTCCGCCTCATCCTCGTCAACTTGAATAAGAAGCTCGAGGCTGGAGAGTCAGCGTGGGAAACCCGTCGGGACGTTGCCGAGCAAACAGCCCAGGTTGAGTTTCTGGGCAGCGCAGACGAAGCATTGCAGATGCGCAGAGGGTTCCGGTATCTGGTTTGAACCCGACCTTTTTATCCTGTGCTTGTTCAATAGCAAGCTCTCTCCGATGAAGTTTTGAATAGAATAGTTTTCTCCAAAAGCGATGCTCTTCAAATTCGACTTTCTCTACCCTTCCATACTCCGTGGAACTTATGCTTAGCTCTTGCGGCTGGTGGAACACCAAGCCGAGTGCTGCCAGAGTGGCGTTGTCCTGCTCCGAACCCGTCGATCGGCAGTATTAAGACATCACCAATCATCTTCTCCTTCTTCAACCCGGACAGATCCCTGAGAGATTTTAGACTTGGATCGATCTTTTGTAGCTCTTGAAACACTGCATCCGTCCATGCGGATGGCCCAGTTGTCGTCAATACATCGTTTGTAGTTGGTTTGATCTCGGCAAATGGCTTGCCGTAAGACTCTTCGAGATCTCCTAAGAGCTTCAACGCTCTTGCCACCATGGCGCTGAATATGGGATGACCAGGTGCCGCAGCGATGGTCCACTGGCAAAACTGCAGCTCGTGATGGACGCCTTTCCAATTCTCGTCCTCGAGCCGATCGAATTCGATACCGATGATCAGGCGCGCGGTGCTCCGGTACTCCCTCGGGGCCCAGTAATCAATTGGGATCCATGCGACTGTATCCAGGTCTGTGTATACGCCGCCAATGGCAAATAGCAGTAGGTAGCGAAGGATGTCCGACTTCATGGCCGCGCTTCCCTTGCCAGCAAAGATCTTCTGTAGGGCTTCATTTTGGGCGAAGTTCTCCTGGACGAACGCGACTGTGTCGTTGTCCCTGAGCAGGTGGTATTCATGGTCCCGGTTATTCACCTTCCAGCTCTCGATAAAATCGCGCTGCTTCTGGGGGATTTCTGGTCGCGCTTCTTTTATTTCCGGCGGCGTGAGAAAGATTTGCCAGATCTTGTGCGGGATCAGGTGATCCCCCTGACGAGGAGACTGTGCCAGACCGCTGCTGAGCGATGCAGGATCATGTGGTACCTGTAAAGAAACTCTTTCATAGAATCTGGGATCGTGTAGACTTTGTATATGGATCGTGTAGAATGTCAAGACCAGCGCAAATCCCAAGATGAGAGCGATGGGGACCAATCTGCGGCTGGAAAGGAACCTGCGTGACAGTCTCCATCGCGAAGCGCTCAAGAACATGGCGTTAGTTAATCGATCATATTATTATTATTAGTAATTCTGGAAAGTCGCGCAAGGTGTATGAGCTCGGAAGACAGCGTGGGGAGGCGTGGGGAGAGGATCTGTTGTAAGGGTAGTGGGCGACCTTGGAGGCCGTCTGAAATTTATTCTGGACGCATGATTGACTGCCTGTGATTCAGCAGCCAGCTCACACCTAAAAGGTAGGCACCGCAGGTATTTGTGATCGAAGGAGAGCATTCCTGATGTGGTCTGATGAAACGCTGATTGGCCTTTGAGAGGAAGCCCCATCGATATTCTCAGTGCTCATTGGCCTGCTCCGGCTCCATGTCAGAAATCCTCGTTTAGGTTCAACTGTGCATGGATCTGACCGGCCCCAAAGATAGAAGGAATGGCTCGGATTTCATCCAGTCGGGTCTGGCGGCACCACCAAAGTCCTCGCAATAACGGTCTGCTCTGGCGATCCTTGATTATACGCCGGAGTTGCAGGTCCTAGTACCGTGGCTGAGCCTTCAATTACTGGTCTAGGGCCTCGCCGAGACACGGATATTACATCATAGATGCAAATCATTGCCCTCGGGCTTTTTGTTTCTTCACAGTCAGATTAAAAATACACATTTCCGGTTCACAGCCCTGTGGAGTACTCCCCGAAAGTGCTATTTTCGTGGGGTAATTGAAAGGAGACAAATTGAGAAATTGATAATGAAGCTAGAAATACGATCGATAATTTTTTCTCACGTTGAAACCGTGTATTCCTTATTCTTGATTTTGTGTAAAAAACAATTCTCTTCTCTATTGAAGCCTACGGCCTCCAACATCGTATTGTATGTCGAGCAAAGTTATTGATGCAGATACTATGGCTTGCTTAATCCCTGACCTGAAGAATCGGGCTATCGATTTTTGTATATCTCCGAGTGATATTTTCGGGTCTAAGAAAGACTTGCATCAATCTAAAGAACTTCCCAAGGTCACTTCCCTTTCCCGACATCATCTAGCAGTTGGGGTTCCAAGTCAAAGAATCATGCCTCAGAGCCGCGACAAGTATTAGCCTTTCAAGGGAATCTAATTCTGACTACAGTCTAAAGGCAGAACTATAGCTTTAGACATCCATTATCAACACTTGAGGCTAGTCTTTTTAATCCGTTAGGTAGGTTAATGCTAGTGAAGACTTGCTGATATTGGTCTGGACGAATAGGAGACTTCCAATTTCTATTTCTGTATAATGAGAGCTGGGGATGGATGTGCAATTGGAACATTGTTTGTTATTTCAGTGGAAGTAGCTAGGTTCTAGCGATTGGATAAGTCATACGTTGAAGTAGGTTAAGTCGATAACTTCTTATCAACCTCATAAATAAATTGAAAATTGGAAGGACTCTGAAAACATTACAGGACAGAGATCGGAAGACTGGCTAGATCCTGTCGTATCGTTGCTCTGTGCAAAAATCCCACGAGGCTGGGTGGGTGAGTGGGGATATGCCCTGGTTAAGCATACGAATAACCACAACAAAGCTGTTTAAGGTTTGGCTTGCTGAAAAACAGCATATAATATTGAGCGGGGTTCAGATAAGAACTCCAAAGCTTGCTCCCGCGCTCCTGTTGTGGAAGCTCAAACTCATGGCAAGATTAGGGCAGCTACTAATCAAGGATGTATGTAGGGGCCTTTTGTCGACTGCGGAGGGAAGAAAGTTCTAGCGCAAATGAAGCCCTGTTCCGGCAAATCTAGAACCATATCACGCATCAGGTATGCATACCAACGCTTACTATTGGGTGGGAGAGATAAGCGTGTGCTGATCTTTTATTGCCTGTTGGTAAATACGACCCTCCATACTCGCCCAGAGAGGAAATTTCTTAAGGCAGTTCATAAGTCCCCGCATGCAACCCTTGGCGAAACGAGGGGTTACAGTAACATTGCATTCTCTATGCCAAGCAAGTTTTTTGGAAAGACCGATTCCGGCAGCAAGAGATGGCTGGCATCCATACCAAGTCCTATGACTTGCTTAAGCGATAGACTATTGATTTTGAGCAATGCCCAAGGTTGTAGGCAAAACTAGGTACTTTAAGAACCCCTCTTCGTCCAGCTGTTTACACTAGATTGCGTTGCTCCTTTCCTCAACCCCCCACGGATCAACCCTAACTCTAGTCCAGTGACTTGCTTCTCGGTTTGCCTCAAGGATGAGATCCGTCAGCTCAATCATCACGGCGGCGTTGGCACTGGCCATCGCTACCAGTGCGAAAGAGTGCAAGCCATACGTTACCTCAGAGAAACTCCAAGACCTCATCACCCTCGAGGATCTTCTTAGCGCAGCTCAGAAACTCCAGGATATTGCTGATGCCCATGGCGGTAACCGTGCCTTCGGTGGCGGGGGACACAACGCTACTGTTGACTGGCTTTACGATACCTTGACCGCATTGGACTATTTTGATGTGGTGAAGCAGCCATTCACTGAGCTCTTTCACACAGCATGGGGCGCCCTCAGCATTGGTGGCGCAGAGGTTGAATCGATGTCAACTATGACATATACACCTGGTGGCACTCTCTCAGCACCTCTTGTCCTCGTCTCCAATCTGGGGTGCTCAGTGGATGACTTCCCCTCCGAAGTTCAAGGGAAGATTGCCTTTATCTCTCGAGGAACCTGCAGCTTTTCGCAGAAGTCTCTCAATGCCAAATCCGCCGGAGCTGCCGCTGCCGTGGTCTACAATAATGAGCCTGGTCCTATCGCGGGGACATTGGGAACCCCCGGCCTCGATTACGTTCCGATTGTTGGCATAAGCCAGGAAAACTCAGTGGCAATCCTGGCCGCTCTGGAGGCCGGGGAAGTGACTGCAGATTTTGACGTTACCGCATTGTCAGAGCAGCGTGTCAACTACAACGTGATTGCTGAGACCAAGGGCGGAGACCATGACAACGTTCTTGTTCTCGGAGGGCACTCTGATTCCGTATATGCGGGCCCTGGTATCAAGTAAGTCGGGATCTCACGTACGACATATTGTATCCGGTGTTAATGCTTGAACAGCGACGATGGCTCGGGATCAATCGGTGTCTTGAATGTGGCCATTGCCCTCTCAAAATTCCGAATCAAGAATGCTGTTCGGTTTGCATTCTGGGGCGCCGAAGAATACGGAAAATTGGGCTCTTTCTATTACGTCAAACAGCTGAATAGCTCTAATACGGAAATGGCCAAAATGAGGGCCTACCTTAACTTTGACATGGTTGGTCACTTATCCCCTGTGTGGAGTTGATTGATGTTCGAGTGCTCATAAAGCTTCTTTCACAGATCGCTAGTCCCAACTACGTCTACGGTATCTACGATGGCGATGGCGGTGCTTTCAACTTTAGTGGCCCTACTGGCTCTGCCGAGATTGAAAAGGAGTTTGAAGAGTTCTATGAGCGCAATGGTGTTGCTCATGTGCCTGCGATCTGGTCAGGGAGATCGGACTATGCTGGTTTCATCGAGAATGGAATCCCGTCAGGTGGCCTCTTTACTGGAGCTGAAGTAATTAAAACGGAAGAGGAGGCCCGGCTTTTTGGAGGCGAGGCTGGCGTTGCCTATGATATCAACTACCACAAGGCTGGTGATGACATCAACAACCTGGCACATGACGCCTTCCTTCTCAACACGAAAAGTATTGCTAATTCAGTAGCAAAGTACGCCATCAGTTGGGACTCTCTACCATCAGTGAGTTTAAATGAGAGACGCTGGAATGCTGATAAGGCCCAGCATTTCAAGAGAAGTGCAGCCGCTCATAGCCACAGTCACGAGGGCCCATGTGGCGCCGGTGGCGATCTTATTTGATCTAAAAGCTTGCCTAGTAGAGATTGCATCATGACGATAGTCCTGGACGATGGGGGGCAAACAAACTATATCTCATATAGAAGATTGCCTTAGGAATGTATGACAGGCCAATATACTTAACGATGATGCTTAAATTTAGACCACAAGACAAAACCATATCGAGTATGATTCATGCCGTCCCTGTGTTTGGAAATGTTCCATAACGAATAACGTGCGGCTGTCAACTAGTGCAAGCACCAACATATGCATTCCTCGGGGTATATCCCCAGCTTGGAAAAGATTCTCTGATGCCTTCCTTGGCCTGTCTAACCGTCTTGTTAGCGCAGCCAAAAACGCTGGAAAGGCTCGTGGTCAATTAGTCTGGCGCCACGGATCAGCAATTTTGGGTTTTCAGCGTCCCCACATTGTAGTTCGAAGACGTTACGATGTAGGAATGGTTATTTAACATTTCGTGGCTAGGAATCGACAGGTGTTCATAGCGCCATCCGGAAATCACGTCGAATGATCAGAGGCATGAGGCCTGGATGCTTCACCAAAAATCCGAATTCCAATCTTTAAGACATGGGACTTCATTCTTGTTGAGAAGAGAAAAGTAAGAGAGTAAAATCGCATATAAGTCTCGTTTTCTGTAATCAAGTTGGACATATTTTACACCGTATTTGAGCTGATTTGTCATTGAATTTACTTCCTCGTTGATACCCAGAGTGAACCAATCGGGAGTATATGTGCTAAACAGTTTAAACGGTCATTTGGAATTCACTTGACGTATATCACTGCTCCGTACGGTTGGACTACAGCATTCCTATCGTGCAACACTGTAGTCACGACATGCACATCATCAAATTCAATTTGTTCAAGAAGGGATATTACACTAGGAGAAGACATCACAGGGGACAAAGCAACTGCTGGTATCTGCTCGTGGTTGGTTGCAAGCCTAGCGTCACATTTCATGCTGATGATCTTAACCACAGATGATCTTTCAACAACAAGATAGAAGCATAGAACTATGTCATCGACCTTGACTAGTCATTCGACGAGCAGCTCGCCCTGACGACAAGTCAGTCATCGGAATGAAGGTTTACAGAATTTTCCTCCTGCATGACTGTAGTCTTAGGCTAACGAAGCATCTTTTTAACCTTTCATGCTCATTGTGTTGAGATCTGTCATCTTCTATTGCAGTTGAACTTTATACTCAAACTCTCTTGGGCCATCGACTTGACATAAATATCCCTACCGTAAAACTATAAGAACGATGTTTCATCCACCAGGAAGAAATCGTATTATCTTGCCCATCACGAAATAACTGAAGCAAACAACACAGAAACCAAACACTGAATATCTCTTGCTCCAAACGATACAAAACATGTTGTTCACTTCGTTCTACACAACTTCCTTGCTCTTTCTGGCCGCCTCCCACTCGCTGGCGAGTCCTCTCACTACCAAAGATGAGGTCGTAGACCTGAGCGGACAGGAAGAAGTTCTTATTGCTGGAGAGCCAGATCTCGCGTTATCTGAGAAACGAGATCTCGAAGATGGAGATGAGATCGTTCAGCTCGTCGCTAGGCAGAGTAACTCTGATCAATCCGAGGCTCTGCGTATGCACAACGCCGTCCGGGCTAGAAGAGGCGTCCGTGCGCTTGTCTGGGATTCCAGCCTGGAAGCAAGCGCTCTCGCATGGGCTCAACAGCTTGCTAGAGATCGCAAATTTGAACACTCTGATTCTTCTCAGCGCCCTGGACAGGGGGAGAACCTTGCTTACCAAAAGTCAGTTAAGAACTAAGTATTGATAGACGTCGGTTAGATAAGGCTCGAGTGCTCACATTTTCTCCATTTCATAGATCATCGCGTCCCATTTCTAATCCTATTACAGCTGGGACTGGACTTTGGTAGGTCATGGACCTTTGAACTTCGAAAAGTCTTCCAGATAATGAATGCACACTAACTCACACTACGCAGGCTGGCCGAAGAACAAAATTATAACAATGAGCCTATTCCTCAAGGAAACTTTGCAGCTTACGGGCACTACAGTAAGGTTACCTAAGGTGAATGAAATAGATTGAAGCATTTACTGACAAAAGGGTTTAGCACAATGCACGTGGAACACCACAACTAGAGTTGGAATTGCCACTGCTACCTCGGGAAATAATGAGTGGTACACGGTCGCTAGATACTCTCCCTCTGGGAATATCTATGGGCGTCGGCCTTACTAATTTCCCTATCTCGTCTAAACATCACCAAGGAATACGAGAAGTGTGATGTAGGTTTGATTCTTGGTTTTTGAAAGGTTGAAGAATTGTATGGGACGAATTTGAGCACAACCTCTCACACTCACTTCAAACGGGTTATTTGTACTCATTCTTTACGATTCTTCTGCTACTGAGTACTTTTCATTTAAGTAGTTATTCAAATTGATTTCATCTTATCACATCAATTATTTAGACATACTCAAACTAAGCGACGTGTTGAGAGTTGTCTAATACTGAAACATAAACGGGGCCATTTCTCCCAACCGGAAATCCTCAATCACCTCCATTGTTGGTTGATTCAGCGCTGGAAGTAGCACCGGTAGACGCAGAAGGGCGGAGACTACACGTAGGTAACATGCAGCGTCATCGCCTAATGAAGTTCTGCGAATCCATCATAAACAAAGCGCCCGTCATCTCCCCCATGCTCCGTTTCCACTTCCATCATCCATCAAACAACGAGTGAACAGCCTTCGAAGCCACAACATCAAGTCGACTCTGCTCCCAGGCGAAGTATCGTGTTAAATACCAGCCATCATGACGCTCATCTGTCTCACAGAGACTCGTTCCTCAGAACAATCACTTTCATCTCAAGAATCCAACATGTCCAAATCTCGCCAGTCTAAGGGCCAACCCGAGCCAAGGGGCGGTGATCAGTCTACAGTCGCTCGACATGCTCAGACTGCTCCGATAGAAGTGCCTACTAAAGCTACAGCGAAAGCACGCATCATGCCCTTTGCTCTTAGTACCATTTTCCCTCTCACAAAGCACTCACAGCCTTATATTTCCCCGGCTTCCTCAAAACATTTCCGAATATCAAGGTTTGCCGCGATAAGCTGTCCTTTGACGATGGAACGCTTCCCTCCGAGCATGAGCGGTTTCTCCAAATCCTTCCCCGGGACCATGTGGACGAACTCCTTCATCGTACACAACCTTGGCGGGACGAAGGGGTCCTCGAGGATTTTATACCTGATGACACACTTAAGAATTTAATCATACCTTTACCTTTCTCCGCATCAGACCGATGGGGTGACAATTTCCAAGACGCGCGGGCTCTTTGGAGGGCCCTCGATGAGCACATGGGACGCAACGGAACGGGCGACCCAGAGCAGAAAAATATCTTAAAGAACTATACACCTTGGAAATTTTTTAGGTATTGCTGCCCCATCCCCCCCCCTTACTTCTTCACCAGGAGATATCGGTTTCCTCTCTGGGACTAATGATTCCGTTTTGCTGACCTCCAATCTAGCAACGGACACAAGTGGCTGCGTCGCCTTTATGAGCAGGGCCCCGATGGAAAAGACAGTTTGCATTGGCAAGCCCAGGCACTCCTTCGTCCTTGTTTGAACGGCAGCAATAGATTCAGTCAGGTTTTGGATACCGGCAAACCCCATGTCAACTGCTTTGTCGCGGACAAAAATCCTCTCAGGGAGGACTGATTCTCGACGAGTGAAATCCAAAGCGTCTTATGGCTAGCTAGCCAGCCCGCGACTGACCCAGCGTATATGCAACATTGGGTGTTCCCTGCAAGTACACTTTGAAACGATTCTGGGCTTTGCAGGGCTAACTTTACATCGTAGGTAACAATTGTGTCTGCTTGCATGTTCAACGTTCGAATTGTTCAGGCCATTGTGCGCTTGGGCTCCAACACGGTCGAGATTCGTAAATCGGACATTATGGACCTTTCTCCAGGTCTTACCGACGAAGCAACCCAAGACCGCTTCAGGAGGCTGCTAGCGTGGCTTCTCGGTACTCCAATGGGGAATACGACAACAAAGTTTTGATTTCGTCCAACTTGCTGGAACTCTCCTTGTGCCTTTTGTCGAATTTGATAGAATATTAGAATAGTCAACCTAGTAAGAAATACAATATCACAAGAGTCAAGCTCACAATAAATTAAACATCGTAGAATGATGTATTATTTTCTTATTATAATATTAAGTAGTAGTAATGAGAACATTATGTCCCTACCTTATATAAAAATGGCCTTATTTAGTGCGCCATGCTTTGTCGTCGCACGGGGGACTAGCCCACCTAGTAGCTTTTGATCGTATTTTGCTTTTGATTCTCGTGTTTCTTCAAAAGCTCCTCCTGAACGAGCGTATTAAAGTTAAAATCCAGGATTAGAGTGAATCTCAATCTTTTTGACCTAGAATATTTCCTCGGCTTGTTCCATACAGAATATAAAAATAGAGTATGAAGCTCCGTCTTTTGATTTAGCCAGCACGCCAATGATGAGACTACCTCGGCCGTCAGAAGCAATTGCCGAGATGGCCATGCACGTGACGAGTTCTTCAGCATTTTTTTCTCGGCCATTATCTCCGGCCGCCGAATCTTAGCGCTTTGCAATTGCGGCAATTTTGGCCAATATCCCGTGGCTCCAACAACGTGACTCTTATGGCATTGCCATAGGCCTGAGAACATTCATTGGACATGTCTGAAGCCGAGGTGGCTGGAAATAGCCCCAATACCAGTTCAGATGTCCTATCACCAAAGAAGCCAGGCAAACGGCCGGTGTCGACAGCGTGAGTGTGCAACAATGCAACAACATCTTCAGCTACAGGTCCCGTGCCCTATTACTAAATTTGGAACTGTGAAGTTGTCGTAGATGTCATGCAAGGAAGGTCAAATGCTCAGGTGGGCAGCCCTGCGATGGCTGTCGCCAATCCAGGAAGGAATCTGAATGTTCATATCCGCGAAGACAGCGCATGGTCAAAGTAGACCAAAGGTAAGCTATCATCTGCCACTTCGTCTAATTCGGTGTTAACATTTAACAAAAGGTACTTGGAGAGACTGGTCGAAGAGAACAAACAGCTCCGAAATCAAGAAACTATATCAAGTGTTCAGCAGAGACCGTCGAGTCTGGCAGCGGAGCCATCAGTCGCAGAACCCTCGATGGATGAACAACCTTGGTTTCTGAGTATCAATATCCCCCATACCCCCATCTTAGTCGGCGAAGCGTCTGATCTTGGCTTTGCCACACGTTTCCGTCAATCATTGCTATCAGACACCCATGGCCATATCCCAAGACTGAATTATCCTTCAGACGAGCAGTTGCTGGGGCTGTCTGAAGCCGAATGCGCATGGCCTCCAGCATCCAAGGCTCGGATGCTTCTTCATGTTGCCTTTAGACATGTCAGCGGGCACTATCACATCGTGCGCAAAAGTCAGATCCTGCGAGGTCTGGAGAATGTGTTGCAGAACCCCGCCTCGGCTAGCTTTTTCATGAAGAGCAAACTGTGGGCTTTGTTTGCCATCGGAGAACTGTACTCTGCTCATACAGTTAACAAAGTGTACGGGTACCCTGGCATGTTGTACTTTGCCAAGGCGACCAAAGGGCTTGCTGTGATCAGCGAACGACCACACATTGACGCTATCGAGATTCGATTGCTGCTGGTAAGTCTGGCCACTCCGGTCTCTCTCTTCCTCCTCTAACTAGAAATCAGTCATTTTATTCATTAGGAATCAACCGTCGCCACTCAGCATATGTTTTGGCAGGCTCTGCAGTGCGCCTCTCAGTTGTCATGGGCCTGCATCTTAATGTTCCCGAAAGCCAGCTCAGTGATGTATTGGTTCGAGAGCATCGCACCAGAGTATGGTGGACGGCGTACATCTTTGACCGCATGTGGGCACTGAATCTCGGAAACCCGATCGCTGTACCGGATGAGGCTGTTGATGTGGCCATGCCCTCTGATCCAGACCCGTCCCTCTCTGAGTCAAGCGACTTTGCAGATGCTGCCCCTTACATTGCCCGAATCCACCTTGCAGAAATCTCAGGCCGCATGGTTCAGTCTATCTATGTCCGGAAATCCCACACGACACAGCAGGAAGTAATGCTATCGCAGCGTGTTCAGAGGATTTTGAAGGACCTACACGAGTGGGCAGAGAATATACCACCCTCCTTGCGTCTTGAGAACACACTGGAGGGTTCCACTCTGAAGTCGACGTCGCTGTCATTGTATCTTTCTTTTAACCAAGTAAGTCGCAGATACCTAAAAGGCCAAATGCAGAGCTAATTATGCATTTACAGAGCGTCATTGTGGCAACAAGGCCCATTTTGCTATACATATTTCGGGCATATGCTTCCTCTTGGAAGGATTCAACCGCACCTGAGCCACAGATTCCAGCGTCCGCCGCCAGTCTTGCCGAAGCCTGTTCTAGATGCGCGCGTGAATCCTTGAATTTGCTTACCGAACGCTGGGTAGATGGATCATTTCCTACCTTTGACTACTTTTATCCACAGTATCTCTTCTCTGCCGGCACGATTGTGGCAGTCTCCAGTCTACTGCCCAGATCGAAAGACAAATCCGAGAAGGACAGCGAGCAGTTTGATTCTGCCATAGACGTGCTTATAGAGTTGCGTGACAGCGGGCACCTTGCTGCAGCGGAGTTTTGCCAGCACTTCGAAGCTATCAAGATTTTGACAGACAACTTGTCAGCCAGTCGCGGCGTTTCTGATGAGCCGTCATCCGTCTTGAAGAACCTGACTACCTTTAATAGCCCGCCAACGGCTGCGGCACTTCCTATCAATCCTATTGTGACGCCTGGGAATACTGCCAGTCTACCGGGGCAGTCCCTGCAAGACTTACTTATGCCTCCCAGCCTCGACCTTGAGTTTATTGATAGCACACTCTTCCAGGATATCTCACAAGGTCTCTACTGGCCCAAGATCTCTCCAAATAACGCGGGAGAGGATGACTGGACGTCTGTTACTTCTCCGAGTCACTAATATTCGGTGAAATTTGGAGGGGTATGATACACAATAGTTACTAGGGTCGGTTATGGTCTGCCATATTACACAAATATGATTTAGTATCAAACATGTTTAGACGTATGCTCCCTAGCTATAATAATGAAACGAGTAAAATTGAAAGACGTCATGGTTCGAGATAGCGATAACATGATGAACCCCATCTACTTGTCTATTTCGCTCTAAGGAAGCAATATTGATTTCATGCTGATCTACAAGTCGGCATTCGACTGAGATAGGTTTAAAGAACGGCTCAGGACGGATTATTGGTATCAAGTAACTGATTCCCACTTAAACTTGGAAGACACTAAAAGATTCAAGCTAGGGACTTCGGTAATTTACTCAGTGCTCGGGGATAAGAAGTATGAGTAGCTGCTGAGAGGCTCATTTATCGCCGAGCCCGAGAAATCACCGACGTCGACGCGCAACATTATCGACAATTTCATCGGCCATGATCATTTCTCACTCCTTTCTTTATCAGATGATCTGATAAGATTCTACGTTCCATTCCCGTTACTTCCGCATATCGATTCGTTTTCTTCCATCTTCACTTTAGGGAGTTTTTTGCACAGTGGTACAGCTGAAGAAAAAGCCGAGACAGATCACCCGGAGCATCATAGGCACAAGACATAATGGACGGTGTACCCGACCTGACAGATCCTTCGCGACAAAAGAAGCGACGAAGACCTGCACTTGCTTGCGAGCAATGTCGCCGTCGCAAAGTGCGTTGCGATCGTCGCTTACCGTGCAGCACGTGTGTCCGCACCAACCACGTCGACTGCACCTACGTCCCGCTCCAGAAGGTGGCTACCCCTGACAGAGGTTTTCCCAAGCAAGATGATCCGGTGTCTGTCTCCAAGGATTTTGGTCTAGTTACATTGCATGAAGCAACCTCGGGGGTATCGGAGCTACCGGCTATACTTACTCCTGGGCACTCAACAAGATCTGATCCGTGGGTAAACGATGAGCTTGTTCCGCAAACAGCCGGGCACTTCTCCATTGCAGACTCCAGCCCCGATGATCATTCTGGTCCGGCAGACTTTGGCCTATGGCAACCTGTTCGTCCTGTTTCTTCTTTAGCCGTCAGGGGATCCAGGCCCAAGGATGCTCTGCTCGATCGAATCCGGCAGCTTGAACAACAGGTAGCAGACCTCAAAGGGCAATGCAAGCATACAGGCGGGGACCTTCTCGAAGATGGTATAGCTCCTTCAGCAGGATTGAAGTACAGTCGCGGCTCTGTTAGCAAGACCCGATTCTTCGGCCAGAGTCACTGGATGAACTCGGCAGATATGGTACGGTCCATGTTCCATGACTCAGATATGGTATTGCCTTCTACAGTACCCAACGCTTGTCAAACCTTGCCCAGCGTCTAGTGCAATATATCGTGGCTGACTGGTATTTTCAACAGCTGTATAGATTGGGAAATATTGCGAGAAAGCTTGAGACCGATGAGACGTCTCAGATTTGCCATGACCTCAGAACATGCAAAAATCTGGGCCGCCTAATCAAGTCTCGTCGCACCCCCAAGTTCAATACCATCACCATAGGCGAAAATGTTCCGACCAGGGAGTTGGCAGACACTCTCATAGACTGCTATCTCAGGACCTTTGAGTCCGTTCATCGCATCCTCCACATACCAAGCTTCAAAGCAGATTATGAGCAGTATTGGAAATCTCCGGCTGAGCTCCC